ACATGGTTACTCCTCTCCGCAACCGGCTCCAGGCAAACACTATAGCTCTGTGTCAGATCCTTCGCAGCTGGTACGACGCCGGTGTGATTAGTGATCTTGATCCAATACTGTCATGGAAGACACATGAACCCAGAGAAGATGACTGATGACGGCCAGGGTAAGGGGTGGATATGGGGTGGCCGGTTTTCTTTTTGTTGCAGGGGAAGCAAGCGGGGGCAGAAAAATGGTCATTGGCTGGATGCGGAAGAAATATATGGGGCGCAGCAGGAAATGTGGGTCTTTTTGCCCACGTGACTGCAACTGCAATATATTGCATCCACTCCCATGTGAGCCTTCGATAGATCAATTCAACAGGGCTTTGATTACGTAAGGTGCAATTACATTGCAACGGAGGGGTGTCGTTGATGGGAGTGTAATTGATCCGGACCCTGTGGGAGGCTTTGTTGCCGCGCGGTGGCTTCGCTCGATTTCACCTCTTCCAATAGTTCCAGTGCGTAGATTTCCTACTTCGAAAGTCCTGAACCGCCCTCTCCAATATGCTCCTCGCAAGATGCATGGAGTCTTTCCCCCTTTTTTGGCGGGTAAACCCAGCAGGGGCTGCATATATTTCAAAAAGTTTGTTCGTCGCAAACTAGCTTATTCGCCCACACCATCTGTTGGAAAGCCAACAGCCACGAATGTGCCGCACCGTAGTAATTGGGTACCAAAACGATGGGCAACCACTCAATTGATGATGATGTTCCTGTCTGTGTTCTTCCAGAAGTTCCCTGCCTGTTCCTGATCCTGAGAATCCTGGTGCCAAGCCATTAGTCACCCCTGAACTGCCTTCTCTGACCACCTGCCAAATCCAACACCATCAGACTTACAAGCCTTGATACAACTGCAATAGCACCGATGATCCCATCCCTCGATCCACTCCCATTCATTTGTGACCAAGTTCTTCTTGCATTTTAGATCTGATGATATGTTCATACACCACCCGCGATTACTGTATTTGACATGTCTACCCGCCGCCCCCGGCACTGTGAAAGTCACAGTTTGCTAGTGGATAGCTTGCGGTTGATGGATGTGACGCAGCAAACGTTGATGTTGGGACATAGTGTCTTATAACCCGGCTCTAAGTCTACGAGCGCCGACGGGCAGTATTGCTATATCACGGATTGGTGCCCGCACAAATGGTGATAGGGGTGTCCGTGGCACATGGTCAGCGATGAGAGCTGTCGAAAGAAGGCCTGGAAATTCACGGGACTGTGTTAAATCAAGAGGTGTCTCTATCGAGGTGATGCCCACTCTAGTTATTCTGTACGATGCGACTTTCAGGAGAACGAATTGTGTTGGATGAAGCCGTCACGGAACTTTCCGGACATGCCTCTTGGTGAGGGAAGAAAGAACAGTCGAAGGTGATGTAGTAACTAAGTCTGACGCAAAAAATCTGGATTGGGACCTTTGATCGGCGCGTACGGGCAGTGGATTACAGGGAACATGCACTTGTAGCTGTAGGCCAATTGCCTATCACCAAAGGGCGCGAGGGAAGGGTTTCTGCAAGGAGAGTTAAGAGAAATGAGGGCAGGATGTAACGGGCTGGGCCCGGTGCGAGCCTCGGCGACTCTCGGCCAATACCAAGACCCCTGATGAGGCTATTCCCACTCGCCCCACAGCACACCGAACCTTCTAGCAACGCGCTCAGACCAGCGCGCCTACGAGGATAAGTATGCTTGCGAGCTACCAGAGTCTGTCGTCTCTCCTTTTCTTCTCCAAGTTCAGTTCAGTGTACTCGTAGAGTCGTCATCAGCTAGTTGCAATATACTACCTGAGACCGTTACAGGGAGAATGCACCTCCGTTTGATAGTCGGTTGTGAGTGCGGTTAATACCCATTTGGGTAGAATGGTTGTCGATGGGAGGAGGACGGAGGTGTACAGAACTCGGACAAATAACTTGAAGACTGGGCGTCATGGTGGTGTTGTCCGGCGAATTTGCATGGTGGTCAATGTTCAATTAACGTACAAAGCATCTTACTAGACACATTCTGATCAAATTACTTTACAGATCTAAAACCTGATGTACAGGACATGCTCTTCTAACCGCCGGATGTGCCACTATTATCAAAGGTCGTTGCCACAGAACCGTGCGGCGGTGCTTCTATACCTTCGCCATCTTGTGGATCTGCTTTGTATACCATATCTGCCACTACGTTAGTTCTGACCGTAGTAGAGGTTTGATACAACATACGCTGTCTATTCCGGCTCCAACTGCTGCAATGCCGAGCATCTTGATAATCCAAGGCGCCCTGTTCTTCTTGCGGTACACACTGGCGTCCTGGTCCTTGACCTCGGGGTTAAACACGAGACTGCCGGGAAGCGATGGGTTGAGGACAGCTGGTCTGCCTAGGCCGATCAAGTCGCAGTCACCGTCCGTCACAGCTTTCTCCATCCCCCCCCGGCTGGTGAACCCGCCTGTGACCATGAGAGGAACGTTGGGGAACTCTTTCCGGATGACCCTTGCGAACTCGAGGAAGAAGGCTTCCCGGGCCCTGGTCCGGTCTGACATGTCCTCCAAGTACGCCAGGCCCTCGTTGCCCGCAATCATCTGCAGCATGTGAGTCACCAGATCTCTCTCAACAAACATCCTCCATCCTATCCACTTGGGATCAAGAAAAACAACGGGAAAGCGGAAGAAAGAAGTCATACCTTTGGATCCTCAAAAGTCCCCCCACTAACCTCGACAAAATCCACCCCCGCCTCCACAACAGCCCTCAACTGCTCCACACAATCCGCCATCTCCTCCCCCTCGCTCTGATGATCGGCGCTATTCAACTTGATCCCAACACAAAACCCTTCAAACCTTCTCGTCTCCTCCCTCACAGCGCGCACAATCTCCACCACAATCCGCGCCCTGCCCCTCGCATCCCCCCCGTACCTGTCCGTCCTGCGATTCGTCCTGCCCGACAAGAACTGCGACAGCAGGTACCCGTGCGCCGCATGGATCTGCACGCCATCGAACCCGGCCTCGGCACACACGCGCGCCGCGCGGGCAAACTGGGAAATGACGGTTTGGATTTCGGCGTGATTCATGGCGCGCGGCGTGCCGAAGATTAGGAAGCGGAGCAGTTTGGCTAGGAAGCCTGGGCCGAGGGTGAGTGGGACTGCGGAAGGCGCGAGGGATGGGGAGAGAAGGCTGCGAGCACCTGCGCCGCGAGGGGATTGCCGGCCGGGATGGTTTAGTTGGACTATGGTTGGTGTGTGTTTCGGGGGGGTTCGGTGGTTGTTCTTGTCGTCACGGCCCTGGCTGGCGCGGGCAAGAGCGGACCAAGGAGGAAGAACGGTAGCTTGGGGAAGCGAGGGCGGAATGGCGGAATCTTTTGTGGCGCCTAAGTGCTTGTCGTCTACGTGGACGTGTCCTAAATTCCGGAAAGAATGTCAGAAAAGGAGGAGATATGGACGGAAACTGGAAGAGGAGGTATTACCCGTTATGATCAAACCCCAGCCGCCGGCGGACCAGCGCTTGTAGACCGCAATCAAGCGCTCGTCTGGAAGTTGGTGGGTGCTAGCCAGTTGCTCAGCCATGGCGGCCTTGACGAGCCGGTTGGGAAGGGTGAGGCCGCATTGGAGGGTTATCGGCTGGGCTATCTGGAGGTCAGATCGCGGACTCATTCTGGTTTCTCCAGTCCGAGTCTTCTCCACGGTGGTTTAGTAAATATTACTCGGGCGCTTGATGAAGCTTGGCTGATCTCCAGTACTCGGTGAAAAATGACACGAATATCTGCCGTGAAGTATGTTTAATATATAGGTACCTGGCCGTTTCTTCCGTATATCTTATACGACACGTCAGTGCGGAGCTCATCCTCAGAAATATTAATGTCATACCGAGGCCGGACCGAGATTCGAAAAAATGACCGCCCGGGTCCCACATAACCGGTCCGCCGGCGAGACTGTTCACTCCGAACCTTGGCTCGAAAATTATCGGGTCCCACATAGTTAGCCCGCCGGCAGCACTGTTCACTCCGAGTCAGAGTCCGTCACTTCGTGTTGGGAGTAATCCCGTCGGCTAAACACCTCGGCTATGAATCGGTCGTCATTGTTTTAAACCATCTTCATGGCTTAATCTGTTAGGTGGTCCGTACCTCAACTTTCCCAACATCATTTATTGTCGGGAGGACTAGCTGCCCGTCAACGCCAGAGCGGAGCAATCGGCGACGGAAAGCACAGAACAACAGAACCCTGCCACTTTCCACGTCCTAGAGATTATGGAACGCCGCGTACGACAGGCTTGAGACGGACGATGCAGAGCTTGTCGGGGCATACATGAAAACCGTATATAATATCATCTAAGTTATCTGCAACTCTGCATCACGAGCGCCTCCTATAACGGTGTACTTCCCAAGTATCCAAAGCCTATCGACATTACCGCACTCTCCAAAATCAGCTCCTACCTTCACCGCCCCGCTGGGGTCAACGCCGCCATCAGTTATAGATTTGAATCTCCAGAACCTCCTTGTGACAGTATCCCAAAAAGCCTTTATCCCCAAGCGAGAATGTGGCCTTCCGTTCAGCTCAGCCTAAGAGGCGAGCTTGAGCCTGACAAGAAGACACTCTTACGGAGCCCGTCATTTTCTCTACCACCCCGTCTTCCGCCCACCGGTATGTCGAATCGATAATACGCCTGAATCGCCAGCTTCTTATTGCCTGAGCCGACATCAGATGTTTAACAGCGATTGACTATCCTCTCCGTATCGTTCCTCAAGCCTTACCCGAACCGCCTTCAAGCACTCGTCCTTGCGATGGCGGGCTAAATCAGGCCCACCATGCTCGCGATAGATTGCCTGGACTAACTATAGGGCTCCTTCGAACTGGGCTCGAAGTTTCACACCTTCCGGGTCGAGCACGTGAGTTGGCGTAAGAGGGATCGAGGGCAACCGCCGGAACTAATCCTTGAGGAGCTCGAAAAGTCGACGATGGCCTACATAGGCTCGTTGCGCCAGTCCGCCTCGCCCTCGGGCGTATAGTCGTAGGCATCGTTGAGAATAGGCTGAAGCGTCGGGGCAATTCTCCTTACTCCTTTCCTGGCCAAAGATACTACGGAGTACTCTCCTCCCAATACGAAGAACCGGCTTGCCGCAACCACTTGCCAACTGTAACAACAACGATTACTGCATGCAAGAGGGCGAGCCTCTAGATCAGTAGGTCTATTTTACGAGACAAACAGCTATGGAGGGGAAAAGAGAGATCGGTGCGTTCCTGCGTTGTGGGCAGGGCTTCTGAGCCCAGTGACCCACAACGATCCTGCAATGCACTGATTGGTCGCATCCACACCCTCCCAATCAGGGCATGTGACGTCGGAAGCGGGTCCAGCCTCGGAATAAGGTTTCCGCGATCGGAACCGCTGTGCCGTGCCGTCACACCAACCCTACATCTAGGCTCAAAGTTAAGTCTCTCTAACTCTACTAGTCAATCTTGTTGTTATATTTCCTATTCTCATTCTATATTCTTATATTCCTACTTTAATTCTATAAAAAGTGACAACTCGAGTTGCTTGCACACTATGAACAATGAAGTGTTTGTGCTAATAAGAGACGAATAAGCCCAGGCTGTGTACATGTAACGGGCTGAGCCCGTAAAGGCCTCGGCAAACTCTCGGCCAAGACTCGAGATTCGGTGGACTTCTATCTTATTCGATATCGGCGCACAGGCCAAGGATGTGGAGGTATAAGACGGCAGATATCTTGCATAGTCTTCCACTCTTTTTTTTCTTCTCTCTCCATTCGAGACAAACTCGTAGAGTCGTCACCAACTAGTTGCAATATACTCCTGGGACCGTTACATACATGTATGCCGTGCTGAAGAAACCGAGAAGTTGAGTGAAGTCGATGAATAGTTAGCTATAGAAGAGGATGCAGTGCAACGCCCTGCATACCTATAAGCATAGAAGTGATTGGGTGTCTCAGTATGTGTACTTTGGGCCCTTTATTTTCGATAGCAGGGCGATTGGAATACAAATAAGCATGAGAAAAACGAAAAGGCGAGAAAGAATCCAAAAACAAGAATCCCCAAATCCTCCGCAATCCCCTCACTAAGCAGTCCTACTCTCCAGGCCTAGAGGGTCCCGAGATAAAACCGCTATGAGCGCACAGTACTCTGTACAGGGAGTCCGGTCACAGCTGAGCCAAGCATTTCTGCGCAGAGTTGCCGATGCAGGAAATCCCAGGGCCACACTCCCACGGGGCCTTGTTATTGACAGCGCAGGTGACGAACTGGAGGGAGGAACAGTCAGCAACCTCCAACCTCGCACGGGCTTCCGATGGCCAAAGGACACGGACGCTTCCATCAATAGGAAAGACACGCACCTTGGGGGCGCATTTGAGAATCTTGCCCCAGGACCCAATGCAGATGAGGAACTTCACAACCTTGGCACCGTACTTCTTAATGACGGACGCGAGCTTGGCAAGGGCGCGGATACGTTCAAAAGCGCGCTTCTCAACGCCGGTAGCACCCTCGGCGCGGGCCACGAGGACATCATCTAGGTCAAACTCGGTGCCGTCGCCCCCGAAGCCATGGACTAAAGTAAGGACAAAGTCAGTCATCAAAACTAGGTTTGACATGTACCTAACCAGGGAAGGTAGGTAGGTTGGGTCGGCTTACCCTCGCCATCGGCGTCAATAATCAGATAGCCGCTAGACACGCCATCGACCACAATTTCGACCTTGTTGCTGCCGTCCGGCAGATCTTCCGTGACGACCTCGACCTCCTCGTCACGCCGTGCGAGGGGATCGTAGGCCGTCATGTCAAGGCCGAGTGCGGCAGCGGCATCGCGCTCTGCAATGTCCATGGACGGACTGTATGGAACTGCAGCCGCCGAGGCGAGAGCCACCAGGGTGCAAAGAAGCGTGGTGAAGGCCTTCATTTTGATGAAAGCGTGACTGGAGAGCTTTTGAGATGCGTTCTGGAGCTGTGATGGATACTGGAGGGTGAATGGAGCTGATGCACTGATCTGCGTTGGAGTCTAGAGACAGAGAACGAGCCGATAGTTGGGATCTTCACCTCCTTATATGTCTTTTGGGACCCTACCTAGAGGGCCCGGTCTCCGAGTTATCCGTCCACCCTCCCAGGACAGCTTTTACACCGCCCTCGTCGTCGACACACTCGTCACAACAACCTAGCGAGATGCTGTTCTGCCTTCAGAGGCTATGTGATTGCCAAGGAAGTTGCTCTAATTGGCATCAAACAGAAACTGCCCAATAAGCCACCTAGGCGTCTCTCGACCGACCTCAGCCTTGAACCTCACCGAAGCCATCTTCTGACAACCAAGTTGGAGAACATAACCTCTCGCCTTGATAGGTAAAAACACATGAAAGACTGAGTCTTGGAACGTAATCATGTGTAGTTCAACTGGCCAAGGAGACGGGCGTGCAGGCCTTCGGCTCTAGCTAAGCCACGGGGGGCTCACATAAGAGCTCTAATCGCTTTGGTTGGAAAGCTTCAAGTTAATTTAGTAACTTCCAAGCAAAAGCCACTCCGGTCCGAACTTTGGATCGGCCGATCCATTGGACCTGACCTCCGGAACACCGTTCCCAAATGTAGGCCCTATCAAGTCCCGGCAGCCACTCCAGCTCCAGAGGCTGAGAGCGTTGAGGCTAGACACACACCCGACGGACCTCCTGTCGGCCATACCTCTCCGTTCCCGCCGCCTCCTTTCGGAGATTAGGGTTTGGTATCACGAGTGTGGTAACCACCATATGCTGCTGTCGACGGATCTTGCCGGACGTTTTCCAACCAGTCCCTGAGAGGACCTATTTTTTAATTTGCACTAAGAAATGTCCGAAAACGCCAAGGTCTTTGCGGCTGGAGTGGCCGAAGAGCCCCAAGGGAAGCAATCATCGCCATTGGGTAGCCTCCCGAACGAGATTCAGCCATTCATGGTACTGACTGACGCCGTGCACAAAGCGGGATCACACAGGAACGAGGCGCTGCTTCTCGTCGTCCAAGGCCATTCCGTACCCAAACGTGACTCGGAGCTTTTCTTGCAGTGCTCCGAAGCCATACACCGACAGCCGCATTCCAACAGAGCTGAGCCGGATCCAGCTGACGGCGAATGTAGCTCAAGAGGATTACTTGGTGAATTGCAGGTGCCGGCGCGGATGCTTGACGTGACGGGCTTTGCTTGATAGAAGGATGAATGAGGAGCACGTAATGCGCAAAGGGTCGGCGAAAGTGTCCCCCAAAAACACCTCATCACAGAGCGGTTTCGCACGCTGAAAGGCCTTCGCCGCCGCATGGCCCAGTCCCTAGTAGCATGCAATCCTACAGCCCACTACCCCGGTCCGACATGCCCAGCTCGCCGCCCTCCTCGGCCTCGGTCATTTTCAGCGCCTCATGCACATCGTCCACAAAATGGGCCTCCCCTCCAGCCAGCTCTACAATGCCGCTGCGCCGCAGCAGCCGCCCGACCTTGGAGTCACGGCCCGGGCCCCGGCTGAAGAAGATGCGCACCCCGCGCTGCCGGTAGTCGCGCACAATCTCGACCAGCACCTGTGTCCCGCTGCCGTCAAGGGACGTCACGCCGTGGATATCAAAGATGACGTTGCGGTTCCAATCCTCTCTCCTTAGCCGCGGCAGCGCCGGGTGAGCGAGGTTCGACCCGTACAGCTCGAGCCGCCGCAGGCGGGACTTGAGCTCACCCGTGTTGGCAAACGTCAGGGGTTCCGGGATCTTGACTATCAGGCAGCCCTCGATGAACTCTAGGCGGTCCAGGTTGGCCTCGGCGTTCTCGAAGCGGTTCGTGCCGGGGATGCGGCCGAGAATCTGGATTCGAGGGCGCGTCGCGTGGCGGATGACCTGCAGCACCGAGAGGCCGACGCCGATGGCCATTCCAAAGGACAGCGAGAAGAAGATGGTGGCGAGCACGATGATGGTCATCAGGCCGAGCTCCTGCCAGGCGCGTATCTTGAGGAAGAAGGAGACGTCGTGGGGCAATTCCTCGATCAATGACCATGCCACGACACTGATGAGGGATGACATGACGGGTTTCTGCGGAATTAGTTGAGTGTAAAATCGGCGCGTGTGAGGAGTACATACCGGAAGATAGTAGAGGTACGGCAGGAGGAAGAGGATGCAGAGCAGCGTCAAGCCACTAAGAATGATAGAGCTGACGGGCGTGCGGCCACCCGTGGACTTGTTGACCTTGCTCCTGCCGTAGCCTCCGAATGCGGGCAGGCTCCCGAAGCAGGACCCGACGAGGTTGGCGGCGCCGAGGGCGACCAGCTCACGGTTCGGGCTCAGCTGGATGCCGGCGAAGCCCTCGCCGCCGAGACTCTTGGCTGCGACGGACGACTCGAAGAAGCCGAGCAGCGCAATCAGGAAGGAGGTGCTCATGGCGTCGCGCATGTAGGACAGATTGGACGGCTGCAGCGGCCAGCGGAACGTGAACAGATGGCCGCTCGCCGACTCGACCTTGCCAAGCACAGCAACGCCAGCCTTGTCCCACTCATAACGGTACGCCAGAAAGGCCGACAAGACCACGACGAGGAAGCGGTCCGGGAAATAGGCAACACCCGGGTACCGTGGCTGCAGGCGGCGCTTGATCTCGCGGCAGACCATGATGACGACAAAGCTTGTGGCGGCGACCGTAAACGTCAGGGTGTGTACCTTGTGCAGGTTCCGGAAAATAAATGCGAGCTTGTCGACGCTGCTGGCGTGGCCGATGTGGGCTCGGTCGGCCGCTTGGCTCAGGCCAAGCTCCGGAACGAGTTGGTCGACGGCAACCACGACGCCGATGGCGCTGATGAAGCCGCGCAAGAACGGGCGCGAGAGGACGCTGTCAAGAAAACCCAACCGTGCAATGCCAGCGATCAAGACCATGACGCCAGACACGCCGGCAACAATGCCACAAAGCCTAGCCTGCATGGCGGCGTCCTCGTCGGCCCCGTGGCCACGGTCGACGCTCGCCTTGATGACGGTCCCAACGAGTAGCGACCCTGCCGCTTCCGGGCCGACCACCATAGCCGGGGAGCTGCCGAGGAACGCGTAGACGAGCGGGTTGAAGACGAACGAGTAGAGCCCGTTGAGCGGGGGCACATGGGCCAGATTTTCGGCAAGTGACAGAGCCATCGGAACGTACATGCCGGCCACGGTCAGAGCACCGATGAAGTCGCCCTTAAAGTAGGACCAGCTGTACTCGCGTGCCCAGACCATGACAGGGAGATAATAAGAGAGATACCTGAGTCGTCAGTCATAAGAAGCAATGCGAAGAGAGGCGGCCACCCACATCAAAAGAGAATCCTTCACGCCGTGCCGCTCGGCTAGTTGACTTGAGGTGCTCATCTTCTTGCTCCGAAGCTTGGCGGCCCATTGCGTTTTCCAACTCCTCCGCCTCGAACTTCCTGAAAGCACTCCGTAGATGCCAGGGTACGAGGCTTCCGCCTCGGATTCGGAGGGACTGATCGAGTCGTGGAGGCTGCTCGTTGGGCTCGTCGGGCGGGGCGAGAAGGTGCCGTGGTTGCAGGGGCCCTCATGGGCGTGTTCCCGCAAGTCCAGCACGCCCGCAGTGGGCAGCAGGGCCGTGGCCTCGGTCGGGCGCTTGCCTGCATGGCGGTGTGTCGGGGGAATCTCGGGAGACGCGGCGCGAGGGTTGCGCTCGTCGGAGCTGGACGACGACGCCGTGTAAGTTTGCCGGAGGCCGCTTGGATGCACGGGTGCGTGATTCTGGCTTGGACGGGGAGGGTGTGGCCGAGATGACATGGTCAGTCGTGGAGGGGTCACGCAGGGCGGTGACCGGGAAGCATGGAGAAAATAACAAAAGAGAAAAAGACAATCCTATACACCTTCTATTGAATGCAAGGGCACAATGGAAAGCGCCTTTCCTCGGTTTGGACTCCCAGCCATCGGTGGGGTAGACTTGAGCGGTCGCAAGGGAAGGGATGTCGCCTTGCGTATCCCGTGGTCCAACTTTTTGTGCTGGAAGCTTGGCAGGTCCGAGTCCATGACAAGAAGATCTGGACTGCTTCGGAGCATGAGTGGGGCCGGTAGGTGTCTTGGCGCTGAAACGTGCCGACCCAGATGCATTACTCCGTGATTTAACCCGAATCGGACAACTCCGATCATTTCGTCACCCACATCCACAACTGAAGACCCTTAAATCGCGATATGTTCCAAACTCAGAATGTTCTGAAAAGTCTGGGAGTCGTGACAGTCGGCATTTTACCATAAATGAAAGAGGGGAGGCCGACTCTCCGTGCATGTCTCCAGAAGCGGTTCCACTCCGCTGGCATTCGAACCATACTGGCTTGAGTGCCTTTCGTCTTCAGCGAGGGAGAATGAAGCAGTTCCAAAGCCGCCCCTTGACGATGCAGGCGAGATTTATGAGAGCGCATTGCTTTTACAGCTCGCTAGGAGACTCGAGGAAGTACCTTGATACCTTAATTCGGGGCGCTTCTGATATTTACAGTATTTAGGGCTAAAGAAGGGAGTGTTGGGAGTGCCGAGTAGCGTGCCTCGTTCTTTGTTTATCGGTTCAGGGTCATTAACATCAAATGAGGTATATGTATATCGCACAAGCCAGGATTTCACGATCACCTGTCCAACATCAACGGGATGGTACTTTAGTAGATCTCAAATCTGATCACCAATACCTCTGCTCTAAAAGTTAAGCTGCTATCCTGTGCTTTAAATGCTTGACGTACTTGTATTATATGGGTGGAGTCCGGAATTGGCCTTCGAAGTCGTTTACCACATTGGACCCGCGTTGGAATTGGGGGTCTAGGTTGATCAGTTACGACCTGTCATTTAGGTGGCACACCATTAGAAGCCAACCGGAATTCCTGAAGCTCCAGGTCCTTGTCCGGCTTGTTGTATAAAGAGAGACCTACAGCATCACACATGAGGAGGTAATCAACATGCAACAGGTCGAATACCTGGTTTGTTTTCCGACATACCCCTTGCCCCAAGGGAGAAGCTACCACGCTAATCCGAGAACCACCCAGGGTATCAAAACCATCCAGCTACTTCGCTAGCAACCTGGAAGCCTCATGTCCATACCGGTATCAATCAAACATCTCACTGATCTCCTCCCCCTCGTCCGGCGTAACGGCCAGCTCAAGCAGCTCATGCGCCAACTCGACCGTCTCGGCATCAATGCCCGCCTCCAGCACCAGATCCTCCTCGGCAAAATTTAGCCTCGCCAATGTGAGACAGTACCGCTGCGACCCGCCGTACGACGCAGCCAGCTTCGCCGACATGTTAGCCACGTGGGCGGTGCGCGGGTCCGTCACCAGGAAATGCAGCAGCCAGGTAGCTCGTGAGATAATCTGGTATAGCAGGGTCATGGGGTCGGGGAGTGGGTCAAAGTCCAAGTCCAGCATCTCTTCTGCCGCCGAATCAAGCCCATCTAAACCCATGGCGTCTCCCGCCTCAGTCTGGGACCCGCCGGTGTCCGCGTTCCTCTCCACCCTCACCGGCAAGTCCGAGTCGTACAGCCGGTCTATGGCCCAGCACAGGATGGTGACCAGCCGGGGGATGGCGACGTCGCTCTCGGCGATCTGCAAAGCGCCAAACGGACTCGCCGCAAACGTCGTTAGGGTTTCCAGCGCCGCGCACTTGGCCACAATTTCCTTCACGGAGCCCGGGTCTGCAGCCCATCGTGGAGGATCATGCAGAAAGAATGATACGCAGTCGATCAACGTGGCGGCGACGGCCCCGGGGGTTCGCGCCTCCACAACGCCTGTGCCGCCGGTCGCCGAAGACGGTATGGGCCCGATGCTGTCGGGGGCCACGGACGTACGCACCAGGGACATCATGGCCAGCCAGTCTGCTTCCGGGTGTTTTGGGGAGAGCATCATGAGAACAAAGTCGAACTCCATCGTCCTCCAGAATGCCAGCTGCGGGGTCGGAATGGCCGCGTTTGCGTCCGACTCCTCAACAGGACGCGGAAGACACGCCAAGGCAGCGAGCGAGAGGAGTGACAAGCACTGCGTGACGTTGATGTTGGAACACAGTTGCCGGATGACCGCGTCGGGGTGCTCGGACAGGTCGCCATCCACGGTATTCAGCCGCGGGAGCGCAACCAGCCGGCAGGTCGTGGCGCAAACTGGGATCAGCGACGCGATGATGTGCGGTGCCACGTCGACGGCGTTGAGATTGAGCGCGAACAAGATCAGGGCAACGAGGTGGCATATGGGACCGTAGTATCTCTCCGAAAGACATTGGTGCCACAATTCGATGATCGTGTCCGCAAAGTCGACCAGGAGGCTCACTGGGTGGCCGGGGCGCCCCATCTGCGGGAGCTTCTGGAGCAGCATGGAGGCCAACGAGTGTTTTGGGTCGGAAGGGAACGCGTAGTGAGCGAATATGTCAAACGTCGGCGGCTGGCCGTGGGTCGCCGTGTGGTCGAGGAAGAGCCTCAGGTACTGAAAAAGTCCATGGTTAGCGGCGCACTCCGGGTCGACGGTTACTTGAGTGGGCTTACATCGAGTGGTTGGGCGCGGAAGACCAGCGACGAATGGAGGGATGGTGTGACGGCTTGCGGCTGATCAAACAGAGCATCTCCTCCGTCTGTCTCGAGCGCAAATGTCGGGCTATCCACAATCGGCCGCTTTCTCTTGCCCTTGCTTGGGGTGCGCTCCGGTGGGGGCAGCCCGGGCAGCGCAGGAGCAGAATCCTTCCTCCTCAGGATCTGGCCTTTAGTGGGACTGGACAAGGTCTCGACGCCGTCAAAGCCATCCGCAATGCCCCACGTTCTGCTATCCTTCCTCGGGGTCGCCGGGCCATCCTTCCGCCTGGACTTTGCCCGGCCAATCTCCTCCCTAAGGTCCTGGCGGGCAAATTGCAGTTCCGTGGCCGTGGTGCGCTCTGCGGCGCGTGCAAGCTCGGCCAGGCGCTCCTGTTTCGCGAGTTGTTCGGCGGTTTCCTTCTTTAGGCGTGCCACCTCGGCATCGTGGGTTGCGCGGGCTTTCTCGTACTTGGACCGCAGGATTGAAGCCTCGCCCTTGGCCGCCGTGAGATCCGACTGGAGCTCCGAGAGGCGGGCTTGCAGGGCCGCAATGACGTCGCTCTGGTTCGCCGGGCTGGCATGAGGCGCCTCGGATGCTTGCGGGTAGGGCTTGGGGATCGGCAGTGGAGGGCGGGAAAACTGGGAGGGCGGAGATTGTTGCGGCCGGGAGGGCGGAGGATATCGCTGTGAGGGCACTGGTTGAGGAACTGTTCGCGATGGCTGCGGAAATTGCGGGCGCGTGGGGTAGGACGGCCTCGAGGGCGGCAGGTGTTGGTTCCACCGCTGTGTGCCTCCAACAGTGCCATAGCGGGGTTGCGGCGGCAGTGCTTGATGCTGAGGATGTGGCGGGGGTCTAGGCGGCTTGGCGTGCTCGTCAATAACGATCGTGTCGTCAAGGTCGTCGTCGTCAAAATCGTACTCCACGGTACTGTGATGCTGCGTGGGCGCATTCTGAGCATTGTGCTGCGTCGGGGCAGCCTGCGACTGGCCTAGCTTGGCTTGGGTGAATTGGATGGCATTGTTTTCAAGCTCCTGCAGCACCGTGTCATTCAGGTCGTCGAGACTGTCGTCCGAGAAGTCGTCCATGGCCGCTGGCTGCGTCCAGTGTCAGGCATGACGGCCATGTGCATTGGGCCAGGGCGAGCTTGTTGCTGCGGAGGAACTGACCTCCAGTCGCGTTACGTGACGCGTTGAGTTCAATCGGAGCGAATCTTGGCAGGGACGGATTTTCGGCGCACCAAAACCCCGATTATGGGGTATCAGGGTCTGCATGTGATGCGGCAGCGAAAGCCTCCACTAACCGGCGATCTCTGAGCTCCGGCCTCAAGTCCCAGGACACGTCGATATACATAAGGATGCTTCGTTTTTGCTGAAGTTGTCTTGCACAGTCTGGCGTTTGTTCCAAATTAGTTTGCACGTAGCATCTAATCTTCTCTACTTCTCGTCATCACCTTGCCTGCGTCATTGGCTGAGGTGCCGTTTGTTGCTTGCAGACACCGCCCCACTTTGGCGCCATGGTCTCAACCAGACTGACGTAGGACGCAAACCCCGAAAATTCGACACCAAACCTTAGACAAAAGTCCTGATCGTCCGGTCTCTAAGCTACACGTCTCCTCGGACAGTCGATTCGCTGCTCAACGGCCGAATTGTCAACACCTGGGCGCCAAATTGTATCCGCGGCACGCTTTGCCAGCTTCCGCGCCGTTTCTTGGCAATACTGCGAACCCCGAACGAGCCGAAGCCTGCGCCAGATCACAAACTTGCTGAGCTCCCCTCAGCCGCAGTCAGACTTGACGACCGCCCATTCAATCGACCGATACTTTGAAGACGACACCAAAATTATCGCTCGCCATGACGGGTCGGTCACGCCGGGGGGTTAGGTTCCCGCACAACAACAAGCACGCCGACGGCCACTCGGACGGCCGCCGCGCCAGCTTCAGCGATGTCAGCGAGGAGGGGTCGCCAGGCAAGCCCAAGTCCGCCGGGACGCTCGACAACATCGACGAGGTTGGTTCTACAGCAGCACCATATCTAACGTTCTTGGCTGGTCGTGCTGACGCCCGCAGAAACCACCTTCGGAGCAAGAGCAACGGCAGTCCGAGTACGAAAAGAAAAAGGCAAACTTCATCACGCGCACCTTCTGGACCTTTGTCATGATCGGCGGCTTCTTCGCCGCCTTGTTCATGGGTCACGTCTACATCCTCGTCATCATCACGGCCGTCCAGATCGTCTCGTTCAAAGAGGTCATTGCCATTGCCAACGTGCCGAGCCGCGCCCGCGACCTGCAGTCGACCAAGAGCCTGAACTGGTACTGGCTCGCCACAACCATGTACTTTCTGTACGGCGAGAGCGTCGTCTACTACCTCAAGCATATTGTGCTCGTCGACAAGGTGCTCCTACCGCTGGCCACGCACCACCGCTTCATCAGCTTCATCCTCTACGTCTTCGGTGCGTCCTTGACCCCTGAAATTGTCAGACTGCAGCGGTCGACTGTGCTGACCGACACTCTAGGGTTCGTCTTCTTCGTCGGCTCGCTCAAGACAGGCCATCTCAAGTTCCAGTTCTCGCAGTTTGCTTGGACGCACATGGCCCTATTCCTCATCGTCGTGCAGGCCCATTTCATCATGAACAATGTGCTCGAGGGCATGATCTGGTTCTTCCTGCCGGCCGCCCTCGTCATCACAAACGACATCTTTGCCTACATCTGCGGCATTACCTTCGGCCGCACCCAGCTGATCAAGTTGTCCCCGAAGAAGACGGTCGAGGGGTTCGTTGGCGCCTGGATCATGACGGTCCTCTTCGGCATCCTCCTCACCAACATCCTACTGCGCTCCAAGTACTTCATCTGCCCCGCGACGAACCTCGGCGCCAACATCTTCACGGGCCTGGATTGCGACCCGAACCCCGTCTTCATCCCCCGCACCTACTCGACCCCGGAGCTCTTCTTCCTGCCGCCCAAATACTCCCTCAGCATCACCATGTCGCCCATGCAGATCCACACCTTCTTCTGGGCCAGCTTTGCGTCGCTGATCGCGCCGTTTGGCGGCTTCTTCGCCTCGGGCCTGAAGCGCACCTTCAAGATCAAGGATTTTGGCGACTCGATTCCCGGCCACGGCGGCATGACGGACCGCATGGACTGCCAGTTCATCATGGGGCTGTTTGCTTTCATTTACTACCACACCTTCATCGCGTTCAAGCGATCCTCGGTCACCCATGTTATGGAACTGGCTATCATGGAGCTGACGACCGACGAACAGCTCGAGGTCATCAAGGGGGTGTTGAAGTATCTGACTAATCAGGGTGTGGTTGGGCCCGAGGTGCGTTGTCCTACAATGTGGGTAATCTTTTTACTTTATGCTAACTGTCTGCAGACGCCGGCTTCGTTTGAGCAACTCCTCGAGGCAAGCAAACTGGTATGAGTTGGGTCAAGGTAGTTGGTGGTGGTTGCGCAACCAAAATGTGCATTCCCTGGCGTTCGGTTTCAACAAGCGGACTTTTGCATCCCGGTATTTGTTATGAGACGTTGAGAATCTAGCACGGCCGTGACTGGAGCACCTTGTAATAATCAAAGCCATAGTTGGATCCCATATACAAGGTTAACGTGTGGACCCCTGGTGTGCTGGCTGTTGGTGTTCTCCTGTGCCAATAACGCAGAATACTACCACGGGAAACCAAATATGGCTGTGCAGCGCTGGTCTAGAAGAATGGTGACTGCGAGGAATCTCCAACGTAGGCGAAACGCCATGGCAGTATGCAATTATATGTCACCCTACCACGTCTGTTTCAGACCCACGGAACCACAGAGAACGGTTATTGAGACGCTGAGCTATGCAGAACTATACACAGTGAATATTACGTCAATCATCATCCATCCCTTCCCTACGCCTGCCCCGCTCATTGCTCATTTACAAACAACCCGGCCATGCCCATACCCGTGCCGATGCACATACTCGTCAGCAGGATCTTCTTGCCCGACCGCCGGCACTCGCTCAGGCCCGTGACGATCTGTCGGGCGCCCGTGGCGCCGAGCGGGTGGCCCAGCGCGATGGCGCCGCCGCGCGGGTTCATCTTGGCCCAGTCCAGGCCCAGCTTGTCGCGGCAGTAGACGGCCATGCTCGCAAATGCCTCGTTGACCTCGACTACGTCCACGTCGGCCAGCGACAGGTTGTGCTGCGAGAGCAGCTTGGGGATGGCCACCGTCGGCCCGATGCCCATGATGCGCGGCGCCAGGCCCGCCACCGTCGAGCCGACGTACTTGGCTAGGATCGGCTGGCCTAGCTTGATGGCGGTTGAGCGCTTCATTAGGAGGATGGCAGCGGCTGCGGAGCGGTGTTAGGAAGGATTCTAGGCTGGGTGTTTGTGGACTAGTCTCAGGTTACTGACCTCCATCGGTGACTTGGCTGGCGTTGCCGCCGGTCGTGGTGGGCCCCCACTGTGGAAAGGCGACCCGGATCTTGGACAGCGCCTCAAAGGTGGTGCCCGGCCGGATGCCGTCGTCCCTGGTGAGCGTGACGTCCTGCCACTCGCCGTTGGCGTCCTTGACACGCGTCTTGATCGGCACGATCTCGTCATCGAACAGGCCGGCCTTCTGCGCCCGCTCGGCGCGCTGGAAGCTCTCGGCGGCGTACTTATCCATCTCCTCGCGCGAGATGTTGAAGTCGCGGCTCACGTTCTCGCTCGTCCAGCCCATGGGCTGCATGCAGTCGGCCGACTCTGTCGAGTGTTTGGTCACCTCCTCGTCAAACGGCTTCTCCAGGGCGTCGCCGCCAATGGTCATTTGCTCGGCGCCTATCGCGACGCCCACCTCGATGGAGCCGCTATGGATAGCGTGGGCAATGTCGGCCACGGCTTTGAGGCCTGACGAGCAGAAGCGGTTCAGGGAGGAGCAGCTGGTGGTGTTTGGGAAGCCGGCGGCCAGCGAGGCGGCTCGTAGCTTGTAGGCGGCCTTGCCGTCCGAGACCTGGGTTGTGTCATGGTGTCAACAAAACGAATGGCATAGGTACCTAGGGGGGGAAGGCGGTATGTAGGGCGCGTACATTTCCCAGGCAGATATCCTCGACAAGCGCAGGGTCGATCTTGCTGCGCTCGCGCACTTCCTTTAGCAGGGCGTAGACCATATACTCCAGGCTGGTGTCTTTGAAGCCGCCCTTCTTCGCCTTGGTCAATGGTGTCCGGATGGCGAGCGTGATGACGATATCATCGGCATTCTTGGAGGTGCTGAGAGCGTTAATAGGGAGAAACGTTGAGATGTTCGGGCTTGCAAAGACGTACATCTGGGAGAGCGAGCTGCCCGGAGACAGGTGCTTGAGGATGGAGCCGAGCCGATCAACAGCCATGGTTGCGGATGTGCTGGGGAAGTGTGCTGGAAAATGACCGAGACGCTATCACTGGGAGTCACTGCAATGGCGGCTTCAGATATAGGAGGCAACGTGGGCGGCAAGGTGTTGTTACGATTACATATTGTACCTCGTGGGGTCCGGTTTGCCGAGGCATCTCTCGGTCCTGTCTTTGGTGGTCGAGGCTTGGGGTAAAGTGAACCGAGCGGCTTTTTGCGGGGGAAACCTGTCAAATCGTCCCAATGGCAACCGCGGAACGGCCGAGCACCGGCTCCATTGTCGGCAGTTGCGCAGCGCCTTACCGATCAGTTACCACGCTCATAAAGGCTTATCGGCCCTCTTTCTCGAAGCAATTGTTGAAACGAACTGTCCGATGCGCGCTTCTCAGTTAGGTTCGTCCTGGCAGAGATGAAGACCGATATGCTCATGGCTGCAACTTCAACTTCCAACTGGTTCAGGCAAAAGCCAGAGCGGGAAACAACGGCCGATAATGATAATGAATCTGGCTGCAGCATGTGATTTCCTCAGCCCGCACGTTGCCGCAGACCCTAGGCCGTTCTTCGCCCTTGCATTTCTGGCTGATGAAGCCTCGTGGGCACAGTGGCAAAGAACTCCCAACAATGGACCTGCAAACGCCGAGCGTCCGAAAATGGTGCTCAGCCATCCATCCCAGGCCATCCGAATAACGCGAACGACCAACGATTCAATGGGCGGTCTGCGCCCTGCTTGGCGCTGCCGCCCTATCGACCGCTAAACCCAGATTGGCCAAGCGCCTATGCGGCTGGCCTGGAACCTCCAAGATTGGCAGGCTCGGCGTCTTCAGCTTTTCAGCTTGAAAGTCGACAAAACCAGCCAGGCCCCAGACCGGGAATTGGCGCAAAACACCATGTGTCTGCCTCAGTCTCTTTGGCTGACAAGACGGTGTCCTGTCTCTTGCGACGTTTCTTAGATCTGGTTGCCGACGAGTCACTCGTTTATTCAAGTCGGCACAGCCTAGAAGAGGCACTCATCGCCCAACATCGACCGATTGTCCCCGCAGCCGCAGCCGCGTCTTCCGAGTCTCGACGATATCCCGCCGTGTGTCAAAGAGGGCACGGTCGGTTCGAATTGTTTAGCACACGACCCGTCAACATGTTGCACACAGCGGCTTTTGTCGCCCTCCTGGCGGCGGTCCCCTCGTTTATCGTTCCAGTCACGGCATCCTCGAAGCGCGGCCTCGTATTCACGCCAAACGCGACCAGCCGCGCCGACGATGACATCTGGGTCAAGAAGCCGACGACCCTGACGTGGTACTACAACTACAAGTCGGACCCCGAGCCCACCTATGCCGACATCCCCCAGTCCGAGTTCGAGTTTGTGCCCATGCTGTGGGGTGCCCCGCCAACCCTCGACGACACTTCGTTCCTGTCCAACGTGACGAGCCTGATGGACAAGGGCGTCAACATCACCAATGTGCTCTCGTTCAACGAGCCCGACGGCCCGTTTGCATGGGGAGGCAGCAACATGCAGCCGTCCGCCGCGGCCAAGGTCTGGGTCAAGAACATGATTCCCCTGCAGGAGAAAGGTGTCCGCGTCGGGCTGCCGGCCTGCACCGGAGGGTCTACGGGGTTGCCCTGGCTGCGGAATTTCCTGAGCGAGTGCTCCAAGCTCATCAGCACCGATGAGGAGACGCGCAACTGCACCTACGACTTCGTGACGATCCATTGGTACGGCAACTTTGAGGGGCTAGCGAGCCACATGGGACAGTACTCGGCAGCGTACGTGACAGGAATAATTTCAAAGAAACTGGAGAAGTCGTCCTTACTGATGGTGTTGACAGGTTCCCTAACAAAACCATGTGGATCACCGAGTACAACCTCGCCAACGAGGACCTGGCGGCCACGCAGTCCTTCTACAACATGTCGGCCGAGTACTTTGACCGCCTCGACTTTGTTGGGCGCTACTCGCTGTTCGGCGCCTTCCGAAGCGACGTGTCCAACGTCGGACCCAACGGAGCCATGCTCAGTAACAATGGCAGCCTTACCGACATTGGTGCCTGGTACCTTGGCCGGCCGGCAACCGGCATTAAGCCCACACAGGGGTCGTCGGGGTCGTCGGGTTTCCGGTCGCTTCCGCAGGGCGGGCTGGCCGTGCTCACCGCGCTGCTGGCTGTTGCGGCATTCCTTTGAAGTCGGCGCCGCCATTTTTGGACATCTTGGCGCTTTCTGTAGCATATCCACATGTACACATGTAGATTGGTATATACGGGACATTGTAGTTCCCTGCCTTGGATAGGCATGCGATCTCTTTGTTGCCAGATGTCAGCGAGACAGCCCGCGGTGAGAGATGATCCATCTTGGAACCAACAACCATGTCCAACGTCGGAATCTACAGTATGGACACTCTTGTCATCCTGCTTCGGTATGAAGACGACTATTGTCTCGCCGCTCCACGTCATTCTCTGGATTCCTCCCCATTCACTATCACACGATGGAGCATTACATGTCGCGGACTGACAATAGTGCGACAAGTGGGGGAGGAGCATTGCGGGGTTGGGCGGATTCCTACTAGGAAAACGAGCTCGTGTATGCCGGGAATTCGTCGGGGAGCTCTTGGGCAGTGCTTCACAGAGGAAGGATTCTTAGGCAGATCTTGGCTGTCCTCAGCTCCGCAACCGCACCAACCGGTTCACCGGGCCTTCCCCGGCCCCGCCCGGACCGAGCTCGACGACCTCCGCATGCCGGCTAAATGCGGGGGGTGGAGCTGACCCCATATCCCCTCACTCCTCGTCGACATGTGCAGCTGTACATAAGAGCACTTTATTGTGTTCTCACCTGACAGTTGTTGCAGCTGTGACGTTGAGCAGACATCAGACACACACCGGCGCAAACAATGCCGCAGGTCCGCAATCCCATCCTCCCGGGCTTCAACCCGGACCCGTCCATCCTCCGGGTCGGCGACGACTACTACATCGCGACGTCGACTTTTGAGTGGTACCCCGGCGTCCAGATCCACCACTCGCGCGACCTCGCCAACTGGGACCTGGTCGTCCGCCCGCTGAACCGCAAGAGCCAGCTGGACATGCGCGGCGACCCGGACAGCTGCGGCGTCTGGGCGCCGTGCCTGACCCACGACGGCGACCGGTTCTGGCTTGTCTACACCGACGTCAAGCGCAAGGACGGCGCCTTCAAGGACGCCCACAACTACATTGTCAGCGCGCCCGCCATCGAGGGTCCGTGGTCGGAGCCGTTCTACATCAACTCGTCCGGCTTCGACCCGTCGCTGTTCCACGACGACGACGGCCGCAAGTGGTTCGTTAACATGCTCTGGGACCACCGCCGCCGGCCCCAGGTGTTTGCCGGCATCGCCCTGCAGGAGTTCGACCCCAAGGCCGGCAAGCTCGTCGGCCCGCGCAAGAACATCTTCCCGGGCACCGAGCTGGGCCTCGTCGAGGGCCCGCACCTGTACAAGCGCAACGGGTGGTACTACCTGCTGACGGCCGAGGGCGGCACGGGGTACGAGCACGCCGTCACCTTTTGCCGGTCGCGCGACATCTGGGGGCCGTACGAGACGCACCCCCAGAAGCACATCCTGTCGTCCAAGGACCACCCCCACGCGGCGCTGCAGCGCGCCGGCCACGGCGACATCGTGGATACACCCGACGGGAAAACCTATCTGGTCCATCTCACCGGCCGGCCCGTCACCCAGCTCCGCCGCTGCGTGCTCGGCCGCGAGACCGCCATCCAGGAATGCTACTGGGCCGACGACGGCTGGCTGTACGTCAAGAACGGCCCCGTGCCGAGCCTGTTTGTCGACCTGCCGGCGGCGCGCGACGACGACAAGTACTGGGCCGAGCAGCGGTATACGTTTGAGGCCGGGCTGCTGCACAAGGATTTCCAGTGGCTGCGCACGCCCGAGCCAGAGCGCATTTTCCGAACGGAAAACGGTAAACTGACGCTGGTCGGGCGCGAGAGCGTCGGGTCGTGGTTCGAGCAGTCGCTCGTCGCGCGGCGGCAGACGCATTTCTCGTATGACGCCGAAACCGTCATTGACTTCTCGCCGACCGACGAGCGCCAGTTTGCCGGGCTAACGGCCTACTACTGCCGCTACAACTTTTTCTACCTGGCCGTCTCGGCGCACTCGGACGGCCAGCGCGAGCTGCTCATCCTGGCGTCCGAGGCGACCTGGCCGCTCGGCACGCTGCGCGTGCCGTTGTTGGAGGGGGTGCCGATCCCGAACGAGGGCAAGGTCCGGCTGGCGCTGTCGATTCGGGGCGGCAGGGAGCTGCAATTCTACTATGCGCTCGAGGGCGAGACAGAGCTCAAGAAGATCGGCCCCGTCCTGGACGCGAGCATCGTGTCGGACGAGTGCGGCGGCCACCAGCAGCACGGCAGCTTCACGGGGGCGTTTGTCGGCGTTGCCGCGTCGGATCTCAACGGGACGGCCGCCGAGGCCAGCTTTGACTATTTTGTCTACCGGCCGGCGAAGCACGAAAGCGACCGGTACGAGATTTGAGGGTGGAATTGGGGCGTGTAATTAGACAGGCTCTAGTTGCTCGCAATAATGAACCAGATAATGTGTCCATAGTGCCTCAGTCTGATCAGCCTTCGGGTGGGGATGACGACCTGGGTATCTTCGGTGTAAGAGCCATAGACAATTGGGCACCTACCAAATTTGTGAATGAGAACTTTCGAGAGTTTGGTTACATGCAGTCCGAGTCTCCGAGTCACACAGGCATTAAGGCCTACCGGCAGCGGCCACTGTATTCGATTTATTCTCGAGGTGAGCACCTCTAGATTCTTGACCGATGTTTTCATCCTCACGTTCCAGTCCACAAGCGACAGCCGGGCTGAATGTTGAATGGAATGACGCAACCCTCTGGAACGGTACCCGCGGTTCTTGCGTGTTAGGCCTCTTCCAAATTCGGTACTCTCAAGACAGACTCCATGACTGCGTTCGGACGACGATGGGGTTCTGCGAGTCGGTTCCTTTTGTCCTGATTCTCATATTCTGAAGCACACCGTCTTTCAACTCAGAATGTGAACTGATATGCAAGTCTCACCCACTTTGAAACCTCATTCCTGACAGATCACGACCATCAAATACTGAGTGAAGTCACCAACATATGAAGCAACATGGTGACCGTGTCCAGGGTCTTGCTGGTGCTCCTGCGCCTCCTGCAGCTTACCAGCGCCGTCATCGTGCTCGGAATCCTCGGCTACTTCTTCTACCTCGTCAAGGATGCCGGCGTCATTGAGCCAAATGCGAGACTTGTCTACGCCGCCGTCACCGCCGCCCTCACTACCTGGCAGCCCTGGCCTTCATGGCGCCGTTTGACTCCTCGTTCTGGTCGTGGCTCTTCGATTTTCTCTTCGCCGCTGCCTGGCTCGCTATTTTTTGCGTGTTGGTGACGGTGAGTTCACTTCTTTCTATGTTGCTGAAGCTTTCACGAACGATCCGCTGACTTGTCACAGCTCACTCGCACCCACACCTGCCAGGAGGACTGGTACAGAAACTACTGGGGCTTCTACTGGGCCCGCTGGTACCTGACGGATTCCCCCGGTGTCGACATGGTAGTCACCGGCTGTAGGGCGTGGCGCACTGTCCTGGCGTTCTCTTTTATTCCGGTAACTCTGTACCTTGCCAGTGGTCAGTTGGTGGTTTTTTTCGTCAATCAGCAACTTTCTGGAAACGCAAGGAATATCCAATCAATACCCAGGGGATCTACTGGACTCATGAGAACGGGCAGCTCAGGCACAGAACCTCGGGATTTTTCCAGTCAGTTGACCTATCCGAGCAGCAAGTCTATGACTGCCACTAACACCTAAGTCAGGAGGCACCGGAGCCGCTTTGGCGGGAAAAGAATGGCTGCGGCGGCGGCGGCAACCGGCCTCGCTGCTGCACCAACCGGTACTACTGGCGCGGTTGATCAGCCCATAACATCTGCTCCTCGCCATGAGTACCTGCCGTCGACCACTGTTACACCGGCCACACCAGCAGCTGGAGACGCCCCGACCGCTCAGGCCGTGTGACTGTAGGTCAATTGAATGTTTTATATGGTTTGCCTTTCCAGACATCCACGGCACGATGTTGAACCGCATCCAATGTAATTAAAATATAAATACCACTTGGGTATGTTCAGAACTTGACACTTCTATGCCTGCTTACACCAAGCCGACTGTGCCTCTTGATGCTATGGCCCTGGTACGTGGTTAGAGTGATTAGGATGGTCATGTGCATGAAACCAGCTGCCAACCCCGGTTTTGCTGTTACATTGCTTGCATTTCGCAATCTTCCAGAATATGTTCGGTGGCATAGGCTGAATTGATATACCTCTTATGCGTCAGGTAATTTATAGCCACGCTGTCTCGGTGCTTCTCTACCAGGTCCTTGGGCGTATGGAGTAGATGTTGGGTGATAAGTTTCCTACAGCCTGCCAGGGTCAGCTTATGGTACCGCGCGGAGATTCCTGGATCATGCAGCTCGTTCCAAACGTTCAAGGGTTACGGCTCCGTTCCCCATTGGGTAGTCAACTCCTTTTCGCCGACAACAACGACGCTGCAGTCTGACGTGCTTTGTCCTCGGTCTCAAAATTGTTAGCTCACTCTCTGCAACGGGAGAAACAGCCACATGGTTGATTCCCGTGGTGCCAACGTATAACGCAGAGCTGCCCCTCTGCTAGGAAGAACTAGCCCTTGCAGAGTAAGACTAAACAGGGGGCTTGCAGGAGCGCTTCACAACCCCTCTTGTGCAAGCCGGGGTTGTCCAAAAAGGTGTGATTCTCCTGCAGGTCGATCCGGCATCCGAACTCCGACATGCACTCAACGTTGTCGACCCCAGCAGTAATGGCACGCTGGACGCCAAATCCTCCAGAAGCCGTTAGGAAATATTGCCGCGTACGTTCTTGGCCTCATGGGGGTCAACGAGGGGCTAACAAGGGAGCTGGCGAGTCATGGGGTCCAAATGTTGTGCATATATAGTCCGGCCTCATTCAAATTCGCCCCTCTACCCTCACCTTCTCACTGAGCGCTACAGTACGCACACTCAGCGATGGCGCTCTCCAAGCTTTCCTTCGCAGCCTTGATGCTGCCACTCTTGGGCGCAGTCGAGGCTAGCCCTACCGCTCGTTCTATTACGCATTCCACCCTCGTCACCAGGGAAGACCTCCTGCCCGAGTACGACTATGTCATTGTCGGAGGTGGAACTTCCGGTTTGACGGTGGCAGACAGGCTGACCGAGAACGGAAAGCGTATGTTGACAGTGGCGAGGGCATAAAAAGCGTCGCTAACTCTTTGAAGATACTGTTCTCGTCCTTGAGCGAGGCCTTCTCCGTGAGTATCACTCCCAGTTCTGACTACATTTCTGTGCCATACAAGTGAGGCTAACCGTAGCAGAAAACTCCAGCTCAGTGACGACTGTCGCGGGAGGTATCAGCGCCTTTCTCGACCCGACCCTTCTCTTCAACTTCACGTCTGCTCCCCAACAGGGCCTCAACAACCGCAGCATCGCTGTCATCAACGGTAGGCTGCTTGGCGGCAGCTCCGGCGTGAATGGCATGCAGGTCCTGCGCGGGCAGCGAGAAGACTACGACCGCTGGGGTTCCTATTTTGGTAAGAACTCGGAGTGGAGCTGGGACGGCCTGTTGCCGTATTTCCGCAAGGTAAGTTGTCATCCTGGGCAGTTTCAATACGGTTATTGATATTTGACTCGTAGGCATGGCACTTCCACCCGCCGACGCCCGAGCTCGTCCGCCAATTCGGCATCAAGTACGACCCGGGCTACTGGGGCAGCACTTCAAACGTGCACGCCTCATTCCCGACCTTTTCCTGGCCAGCCCTGAGTGCGTTCATCACTCTGCTTCGCAGTTCCTCCTCATTGCATTGAAATTCCCTCTAAGATCTGACACGATCCAGAATTGGAAATGGCGGCGTTTGGCGACATCCCCGGAGTCAAGTACCCCTCGGACTCGGGGGCCGGCGAGACGGGTGCGTACTGGCATCCGTCATCCGTCGACCCGGCTACTGTCCTCCGGTCTTTTGCTAGACCGGGCCACTGGGACGGCATTGGAGCGGCGCGCCCCAACTACCACACCCTGACCGGGCAGAGGGTGCTCAAGGTCGCGTTCCATGGCAAGCGGGCGACGGGCGTCGTCTTTGTGCCGTTCGATGCCACAGACCAGAGCCAGGCGCGGACTGTCAAGGCCAAGAAGGAGATCATCATGGCGGCTGGCACGCACCACACACCGCAGATTCTTCAGGCGAGCGGTGTTGGCCCCAAGAAACTTCTCGCAGAAGCGGGCGTGCCTCTCGTCGTGGATTTGCCTGGCGTGGGTAGCAATTTCCAAGACCAGCCCTTCAACATTGTTCCGCAATTCAACTGTCGGTGAAACCTATCCATCTTATAGTTATCATTCCACACATTACTAATGACAGATTTCCGCAGACTCATCCTTCCCTTTCCACCCCGACTCCTCCGACCTGTATACAAACCAGACGTTCATCGCCGAGGCGGCAGCACAGTTCGCCGCCAACCGAACCGGGCCCTTGTCGATTGCCTCCGGCAACTGCGCCAGCTGGCTGCCCCTGCAAGTCATTGCCCCCCAGGCTTGGAAGGACATCGCCGCGCGGTACGAAGCCCAGGACCCCGCGGCGTATCTCCCCAGCGGCTCCGACAAGGCCGTCGTGGCCGGCTATCGAGCCCAACAAAAAGCGCTAGCTCGATCAATGCGCAGTAAGGACTCGGCGACGTACAACCTCCACTTGGGCGGCGGCTACTCCAACGGGGCGGCCGTGTACCTCCACCCCGTCAGCCGCGGCACCGTGCACATCGACCGCGCGGATCCCTTCTTCTCGCCGCCCGAGGTCGACTACCGCGCGCTCAGCAACCCGACTGACGTCGAGGTGCTGCTCGAGTTTACTCCCTTTACGAGGAGATACTTCACCGAGACGCGACTCAAGAGTCTCAACCCGGTCGAGCTGACGGGGCCCGGCGCCAACGCGACGCGGGACCAGGTGGAGGCGTGGCTGCGCGGTGTCCTGATCCCGTCGTCGTTCCACCCAGTTGGCACGGCCGCCATGATGCCCAGGCAGCTCGGCGGTGTCGTCGACGAGAAGCTGCTGGTGTACGGCGTCAAGGGGCTGAGTGTGGTCGACGCGAGCGTGATGCCGGATCTGCCGGGGTCGTACACGCAGCAGACGGTGTATGCTGTTGCCGAGAAGGTGAGCCTCTTTGTGTACCGGTGTCCAGAGTCATTGTTTGATACTAACATCAAGCAGGCTGCAGATCTCATTAAGGCGAGGGCATAGCCACTACCCCTAGGAAGGAAGTGTCTAGTGGCTGAAAAAAAAAATGTATCCAACTTTTTGATCCAAGAGCTATATAACGCCATGCTGAAATTGAACTCGGGATGCTATACAAGAGCTGGGTAAGTTAGATCAAAACATAAAACACCCCCCTATATAACCAAAGAAATACCCGCTCTGTGGTATCCAGTCCCCTACCTTCGGCTTAATCAAACACATCCGTCGCATATCGCTCATTCCTGACCCCCTCATACCACTCCGCAATCTCCTCCTCGTTCGCCCCCTCACCCAGCACGACCTTGCCCACAACCCGCTTCACATCGTCCCCAAAAGCCCTCGATCCGCACACATACACCCTCGCCCCGCGCTCCCACAACGCTTTCACCTCTTCCCGATCGCGCCACACCCTGTCCTGCGCATGTCTGCAGCCCTGCGCTTCGTCGTTGTCGTCAGTCTGCCGACTAAACGCCCTCCGCACATCCACCGCCCCGATATTTTGCCATTCGTCGAATTCCTCCCGATACAAATCATCCACTTGCGGTCCGCGACATCCAAAGAATAACAGTGCCGGCGCAAGTTTCCTATTCTTGTTCTGGTCTTGGCCTTGAGACTGACCCTGAGACTGAGAAATCAATGCCGCACGTTCCTGTACAAACCCCCTAAACGGCGCCAGCCCCGACCCCGCTGCGATACACACCAGGGGCGTGGTTTCAGAATCATCTGGTAATCGAAACGCGGTGTGTGTCGGGCGGACCGACACTAGCAGTTTATCACCCGCCGACAAGGAGGCGAGGTACGAGGTGGCGACGCCCTCGTGGGTGTGTTTAGCCGGGTTGGACAGGGAGGGCGCCGAGACGAGGGAGTAGGTCAGTGTGGCGCGCGTGGGCGTCGTGAGCGGGGAGGACGAGATGGAGTATTGGCGCGGGCGGAGCGGCGGGAGGAGGGAGAGGAAGGCGCCGAAGGGGAGGGAGACCGAGGGGAACTGCTCGAGGAGGTCGAGAATCGAGGTTCGTTTGAGGCTGATTTCGGTCGAGTAGGAGTTTCCTGCGAGCTTGCGGAGGTGCTGCTTGGTGGGCTCGTCCTCGGCGGCGTCGGCGAGTCGAAGGATGCCCTAGACTTCATTAGCAACTGAAGGATTTGCTGGCGGGGAGTAAGTTGTGAGAGGGACTGGACCTACCCTCTTGGTAGCTGGCTGCGACAGCTCGACGTACGATCCAAGGACATCCCACACGGGAACCGGAGTGCCGGTCGGCAGGGCAGTCCACCTGTCGGAGGCAATGGCGATGTGAGCGTCCCACGACAGCCGGAACTGCCGCATGACCCGAGTAATGCTTGCTTTGGAGTTGACCGGGAGCACGGCTAGGTAGTCTCCCACCTTGTATACCATGCCGTCTGGCAGCTGGATCTCCATGTGCTTTTTGGGAGGGGCCCCGGCTGCGGTGAGCACTCTCTCGTCCACGACCGTGGCCTCCTTGACATCCTGCCGGAGGGTCGACGACCGCGGACTCGAGAACTGCACATCCAGGCTGTTGTCCGAAGAAGGAGCCAAGTCATCGTTTCTCCCTCCACTTGCCGCCGTCGTCTTCTGAGTCCCATACCTGGCCTCGACGGCAGGCCAGAACACGTCGTCCTCCCACTGCTCAAAGTCGGTAAACATGTCCCCGTCAGCCACATCCGTCAAGCCCATGTCGCAGAGGCGCGTGGCCCCACGCTCACTCATGGCGCCGTCGACCCGCCTGGGGACGCGGTGGAGGGTTTGGCTCCAGTCGTGGTGGCCGCAGCCAAAGACGGCGTAGGCCACGCCGCTCAGCTCGTTTATATGAGCAGACAAACGCTGCTGCTCGAGGAGCCAACTGCAGAACCGTGCCGCGTTGTCGGGCGGCTGCCCTTCGAAGGACGCCGTGATGATGACCACGGGCCGGTCCGTCGGCAGATTGCCCGTTGCCGCATCCATGGGCTCGACAACGGTCGCCTTGAATCCGTGGGACGCCGCGTTGGTCGCCAGACGCTGGGCCAGGCTCTCGCATGTGCCCGTGTTGGAGCCGTAAAAGATGCTCATGGGCCTGGCTTCGGCCGACGACGAGGTGATACCGTTGGCTTTTGCTTTGGAAGAATTATTATTGCCTGTCGACTGGAGGCCGCCCCCGGCGAGACGGTGCTCCAGCTCTGTCGCCGTCAGCCCATCCCGCAGACTGGCCCGCATGTGAAAGTTCTTGGGCTTGGTCGTCAGCGTCTGCTTGTACTGCAGCTCGTAGGTCGGGTCGTCGAGGCTAAAGTCAAAATTCTGCAGCAGCATGGCCATGACGAGCACCGCCTCCTGCCACGCGAATGGCCGGCCGATGCACGCGCGCATGCCCGTCCCAAACGGCTTCCAGCAGTCGGGGAACTCCTTGGTCAGGCGCTCGAAACTGTCGTCCAGCATGCGCTCCGGCACAAAGTCCTTGGCCGTCTCGCCGTAGACCTTGGGGTCTAGGTGGGACTGTGCGAGGAGGAGGACGAGCCGCTCGTCCTTTTTGATCAAGTACTTGCCGTCGCCGATGACCGTGTCCTCCCTGGCCTGCCGCGCGATGACCGGGATTGTCGGGCAGAGCCGCAGCGTCTCGCGGAGGACGGCGGCAATGTACGGGAGCTTCAAGAAGGGTTCATGTTCAGCTCTGTAGACTCATATCGGCTCCTGAGAAAAAAGCCCTACCTTGTTCATGTGTTCTACCTTGATCGGCCCCTTGCCAATCACGCTGTCCACCTCGTCCTGGGCCTTGCGGTATGCCTCCGGGTGCTTGATAAGCAGGTAAAACGCAAAGCTCAACAGGCCCGACGTCGTCTCGTGGCCGGCGATAAGGAAGGTGATGAGGTTGTCGATGATGGATGAGTCGCTCAGCTTCTGGCCCGTCTTGGGGTCCACGCCCTCCAACATGGCAGACACCAGATCCTTGCGGCCGGTCGGGTGCTTCCTGCGAGTGTCGAGCACGCTCTGCGCCGTCCGCCGCAGCACCTCGATGTCCTCCCAATACTTGCGGTTCGCTTGCTGGTACAGGACGGACATGACACTCGGCCGCGTGGCCCGCGCCCCGGATTCGGTGAGGAAGTCGCCCATGGCGGCGATGAAGGGGTGCAGCTCGTCGTGGTAGTACGAGTTGAAGCGGAAGTTCATGGTGCACAGCGCCAGCGTGTCCAGCGTCAACCGAGTAAAGTCGTCCGTCACCATGATGGGCGTGTCCTCGCCGTGTCGCGCCCACTTGAGGGCCAGCTGCGACGCAATCTCGTGCATCTCTGTGAACATGCCCTGGATTGAAGCCGGGCCGAAGGCGGGCATCAGAATGCGGTGGGCGATCCCCCAGTTGGCCTCCTCCTCGCGGGCCGTGAACAGGCCATCGTGCACGCCGTTGCGGATCTCGGCCAGTGCCCCCGCCACGGGCTTGCGGAACCGCTTCTCGTCGCAGAGTTCGTGGACGAGCGCATGCGAGCTCTGCCGGGGTCACACACACCAGATCGTTAGAGGGGGGTATGGAAGCGGGAGGGCCGAGGAGTGCTTACAACGACCATCGGGGACCCGGAAGGGAGGTGCATGCGGTATATCTCTCCTGGCTTATTGTGAGCGACGGACTGCGTCCTTCTTCTTCTCTGGCGCATGACGGGAACTTACCATATTGCTCGGCAAAGTTTTGGAAGGTCCGCAGCGGAAGCTCCGTGTCGAAGTCAAAGGCATTTCCCACCAGCGGCCAGCCGGGTGGTGCTGGGATCGGTTTCGTGTCTGTTGAATCTGCTACTGCCATTGTGACGGGACGCCGGCGACGGTGGAAACAGAAGAAGATGGAAATCGTCCGTGGTTTACGAGCTTTCGGCTGGGCCAGGCACATGCATTTAATATCCAAGTCTGCTGTTCCTTGGCCACCAGGACCGTTTCATCCCTCGGCCACCGGCGGCCCCCACAATCCACATCATCCGATGCAACATCCATGGCTTGTGTGGCCTGGTCTCGTCCAGTCGTCATGGTCGCGGATCGGCCTCCGCTGGAGCGCGACGCAGGACTTCGGATGCCCATCATTTCGGTAGCCCGGCAACCACGTTTTTGCCTGCCCCGAATCCAGGCTGATGGCAAACGTTGGGCCGGAGTTCGGGATCAGTGGGTGTGTCCTGAAGACCGATCATGTGGAACTCGTGGGCCTCGGCACTGCACGCTGTGGCCGGCATCGCCGATCGCTGGCGGGTTTTTAAACTTCTGACAGGTCCACTCGGCCCCTGAATCAGTCCGTCTCCGCCCGTCAAGCTTTTGGTGGCATTTTGGGGAAACAATGCGGGAAGACGGATTGAGAAGAGGCAGTTCGGGATTGAACACGTATGTAAGTACGATAGTAAAAGGATTGAAAAACTTGGTGCTCGATGGAAGGCTGTAGGATGGTAATCTATAGAAGCTCCAGCTGAGCTGGCCAGACAAGAAATCACATTTTGTTGGGCCATCTTCGAAAGCTTCCACATTGTCAACTTGAATAATTTGAAGTGGGCAACAGAATCGAACTTGTCGGACTACTAGTAACTAAAGTAGGGTTTCTTACTCCCAGATGCCGCCCTCCTCGTGCAACCGAAACTCCCGCTTAAAGCAATAGCCCACAGTCATAACCATTCCTCACTCCGATTTGAGGAAATGTCCTTCACTCCTGCGATCTTGCACTCCTGCGATCTCCGAGAATGCTCTCCTCGTCTGCTGGCTTTACATAATGGCTGTGTTGTTCACCCTTGGACATCGATCGCAGCCGCATACTCTGAGAGTTGATGAACGACGGCTTGGAAGCGTCGCCCGTGGCTCGGCCCGTCGACTTGTCACGTCGGAACAGATGCCGCAGGATGGGGATCGATGCCGCCACAATGGTCATGGACGGCTCCGCGGTGCCGAAGATGAAGAGGTTGATGTTCGTCGCTATAAGGTCAAAGATCAGCTAGGTCCCTGGAGGCTGGGAATGAACTGGGATAACGACTGACCGGTGTCGATGGTGGTGATGGCGTAGAGGGTTGAGATTTTGACGTACGAGATGATTCCGGCGCTGAGAGAGGCGTACGGTGTCAGTACAGTACGTTATTATGGGCCCTCGGGTGGAACAGATTCACTCACAAGATGCCAGCGCTCATGGCGGCGATAACCCCAAGTTTCTCTTTTTTTTTCATTTGCACGTGCCATAGAATCTGCCACGGTAGGAAGGCAAGGAAGATGTCCATGGTGCCGGAGTAGACTGCCAGAGAAGGGAACGGGGCGAGTTAGGTAGTGTCTCAAGCCAGGTAATATCCACCTCAGCCACGGATTTCCAGGGGGGGTGGACGTACTTGCGCCAAACGTCTGGTATGCCTCAATCACACCCTCTGCTATACACGACCCCTCCAAGCTCCAGTCCCAGGCTCTGGCGATCGGCCAGCAGCGCAGCCACTGCAAAGCTGCCATGGCACCGAGGACCAGGTTCACTGTGACGATTGTGAACCAGACAACCCATTTCGTCCAGCCGCTCGTGATGCGCATCAGGGTCAGGGAAAAGGATGTCTTGCTCCAGGCGAGGGAGATGATGGAGCAGAAGCCGCTGGCAAGGGACACCTTGGACATCGAGAAGGAGTTCTCCCAGGGGATCTGGGACTCGGCCAGACCGAGGCCGAAATGTACGGCGACAGATTGCAGGATGATGGCCACCAGGAGGGCAGCCTTTACGTATTTAAATCGAAAATTGACGTTAGTCACGGATGGGACTCGGAGCAGGTTTGGTGTTGATGTGATTGAGACGTACAAAGCTTCCCACCAGGAACCAATCGTCCCACCAGAATGGGCGATTTCGATACACCTTGGTACACAGGCGCAGGGTCAGGAAGATGGTCGAGAGGCTTGCGAGGATCCAGATGACGGTGTTCAGGCGCCGGCCCTGCACGTTGTCGACGCCCGGGTCGACCCTGCGGGCACCCAGCCCTACGGGTTCCGGGAAGGTGAGTATCGCCATGTGGTCGGCCTTGTAAGCCGTCAGGAAAGCACGCTCGAGTCTTGAGGTATTGGTGATGTCGTTGACCCAAGATGCTGTGAGACGCTGAGTTCCGTGAAGCCAGAGGTCAAACGGCTTCTGGGCCCTGTTATATCCTCCAATCTCACACATGGACTGTGACCACACGGACTGTGATGATAATTGTCTTGAGAGTCTTGACTTCGCAAGCCCCAGGCAGGGGTAACATGCACTAAATGGGTCAAGGCTGGGGAAGTGGAGAAGGCCTCTGGTTTGTGGAATCTTGCGCGAACACACTAAAGCTTGCCAAGATCCGGGGGCGAGCTGTTGCGCAAGACCAGAATGGGAGAATGGGGTTTTCTTGGAGGGGGACCGGTGTGTCTCGCCGAGAGCCAGTCCTCTCCCATCTTGGCCATGTGCATGTCAGGAGGATTCGCTAGCTCGGATCTTGGTATGCACGAGTTGCAACCGTGCGTTGGGGTTTCCCAGGATTAAGCTCAGGTACCACGAGTGACGAGAGTCTTGGCCGAAAAGTTTCTAGTTGCTCCTCCATGATCAGCAAGTCCACTGCCAGTTCTGATTCCCCAGACGACTTCCAAACCTTTGCGTAACGGTGAAAGCTCCGCTTTTTCAAACCACTATTACTGAGATTGGGTCTCGTCTACCCAGACCTCGTAACATCGCAAGCCACCGCAATATCTACTCCCCGCCAGCTACAGTAAGGAGCCCCGTCGTTGAGGAACCCCTAGCGTGCGTTGATCGGTCCACGGATCGCAGGACAAGGCGAGGGAGGTGGGAGAGGCTCTTTGGTGTTACGCCAGGGAACGTTACGTTGCCCTCTCTCATTATCCTTTGCGAGAGGCCTGTTCCCGTCGGAGAGGATCTGGGGCCTTTGGGACCTTGATTAGGTACTTATACCTTAGCGAGACGCATACCAATCTGTCGGGAACGGCCCCTGGGGACGTCGGTTGATGCCGAATGTGGAACTGATGAGGAATAAGAACAGAGAAAAAGAATACGGGTAACTACCTAAAGTATCCGTATATGTGAACATCAGCCAATCCCGGATTTGCTGTTTGGATTCTGGTTTCACAAGTTCGCACCCGCGCAAGGATTCGTCCCAGTGCTCAGACCTCCGTTTCCTGGCGTTCAGTGCCATTCTTCATCCGACTAAGCAGATTTTGGCCCTCTTGGATGCAATATGTTTCCTAGCCTTGGTGTTTTGCTCAAGTGCTGAAGTGTTGCTCAACATCCTGCTGCTTCCCGAAACATTTCAGGTTGAGATGGAGGCGCCAAGCCCCAAGTGGGACACAATTCCACTGCTGGTTCGGCCCCACATTTGCCGACTCGGCCCCGTAGTGAGACTTTACGAACGCAGCATCATTCTGGAGTTGGCCAGTTCTGTAGTTTGTGTGTGGGATTTGATGTTGCTGTTGGGTGTGGTGTTGGCTGCAAAACGTTGGTGGGGCTCGCATGCAATGCCGAAAGCAGTTTGAATGTACAGGGTTGAGAGGGGTCTGTGCGCAGACAGGCTGACAGCCAAGTGCGAGTTTTTTGTGGGGTTTTGCCACACCATAGCCATGGATTGCACACATCACACACAGAGCATTACCATTGCTGTCTGTGTGCCTGCATCCCACAAGAGGTTATAATGTACATTATAAGCGAACGGCGCATATAGGCGAGTGGCGCACTGATAAGGGCTAGTATGGAAATCTGGGCACAACACTAACAAACATGTTCCCAGATTAATCCCGCTGTTAGTGTTGCGCCCGAATTTCCATACTGGCCCTTATCAGTGCGCCACTCGCCTATATGCGCCGCTCGCTTATAATGTACGTTAGGCTCCGGTTATCCCACTAAAGCGACCATTTTCCACTAATCCTGCGACCTGCACGCAGCGCAGGGCCATTAGGGGCTGCATGGGCAGGGCAACGGCGACTGTTTAATCCCGGCGAATTTCAATTTTTCATCGACCCTGGACGGACCAACCTAAGTAAGGCACCGATTCATCAGACCACCAGGATTGATGCATCACCGATCTCTATCAACATAGTCATCGTTTGAGCCAACAAAATGATAAAAGCCCTCATTCTAAGGCAGCGACAACAAAAGGCAAGTTGATTTTCTGAGGCCAATGAGATACGTCCTCACAACAAACCCTCTACTTGAGTCGCAATTCATGCCCGAACCACACTAATAGGAATGAATGCTCCCATCGGCCTTGTGGTACCCGATCATGATGTAATCCTTCAATATCGCCGTGCCGTTCCGCAACATCTCGGTCTGTGTCGGGTCGCAGGTCAGGAAGATGGCCCACAGGTAGCACTCCGGCGCGTGCTGCGAAGGAACCGCGTTCGTCACGTTGAAGACGTTGTCCGGCCCGTCGGTCGAGTAGGCATGGCCGCAGGGCTCCGCCGTCGACACTCTGCCCGTGGCAACGTCCCGATCAAACATGACTCTCTTGAAGATCTGGTATGCCGTCTCGGGCTGGTACCAGGGAGCTATCACAGGGTAAAGACGTCAGCTTTACTCAAACACTCCGGTGAGGGCTCAGCAAGGAAAATACCTTCGTGTCCGGCGTCGAAAAGGCGAGAAAATGACAGGCTTCCGTGCTGCCGGACGTATCCCCCGACGTAAGTGCTGTTCGTCTGGATCCTGGCATACCCGGCCCTGCGGAACCGCTCGCTGCCCCTCGACTGGATGGCCAAGCTTATCTGCTCGCCGCCGTACCCTGTACGTGTCATAAGAGTCAGTGTGTCCGTCAGATACTTAAATCACAACACGAGACGCCGACTTACAGTTGCACTGAAAGTCGCGGTCACCATAGACCAGCGCGACTTTGACCCCTTCGTCCAGCAGGTTGCCCAGGTATGGGAGGTTGTTGCCCAGTACAAAGTCCCCTGTTTGCATGAATGCTGTTGCAAACCGTTCAAATTAGCTGGTCACGTCATATCATGCTAGAAATCAGCATGGACGAACCATTCCACACAGGCATCGAGATCCCCGACATGTTGAGCGGGACACCCAGCTCGAGTTGCACTTCCTTGGAGTTGAGATAGCCGCCAACATATCTGGGTGGGAACGCGTCCGGCATCACTTGCGTGATGTCATAGACGTTTCTCTGCGCAAATATTTAGCGTCAGCGAGAATACCGGCATGACAGGAGAGAGACACTTGCTCACCCCGCGGCTCTCGACGACATTCCCCATGGTCCCATAGCAAAAGTAGTAGGCCTCACTGCACGCCTTGTTGACGGCTTCAACGTTGCCCAGCTCGACGGGGTCATGGGACCTTGCAAGCGACCGACAGGCTTCGACGCGGCGCCGACACTCGGGAAAGCTGGCGAGGGCGGCGTCGTACTCGGTCTCGTTGATGACCTGGATGCCAAGCGTGTTGTTGTACGCCATTTGCGCGTAGGACGGCAGCTGCGTGAGGATGTCGACGCAGCCGTTGATGATGCCCACTGTGTCGAGACGCAGTGGGACGGCATTATTGGGAAAGGTGCCGGCGTCGATCTTGCGCGTCTGGTCTGTGAAGAACTTGGCGAACGTGGGGCCATAGTGTCCGCCGTAGGACTGCGTCCAGATGCTGAGCTTGTTGCCCTTGGGCTTGTACTTCGGGAATCTGGACAGTCATGTCAGAATGGCCGTGATGAATTTTCTGGGCACATACTGCTGCATCCAGATCTGCATAAAGTGCCAGGCCGCGAAGGCTGCGTTGGCGGTGGTGTTTGCTGCCGCCTTGGGGTTCTGCGAAGCGAAAACGCCGGCGAGGAATGTCGAGTTCAGCTCAGTGACCGGTGACGAGGGCGACAGCGGCATCGGAACAGGTGGTCGCTGCGTTTCGTCGACCGTGCCGTTGATCAGAGTGTCGTAGGAGAAGCCGCTCTGGACGGGCTGGTCGAGATAGAGCATGTTTACCTCGTTGTTCCACGACCATGGGTTGAGCACCGTGTCTCGAGCGTTGCGCGAGACGAAACAAGGCCCATTGCCTCCTACAGCATAGGGCGTCGACGCTGCGCCGGGCCCACCCTGGAGCCACAGGGCTAAGGGCGCGTTTGCCGGGTCTTTTCGCGCCTCGAAGAACCAGAAGAAGCTGTGAATGTCGTTGGGCCGTCCTTCGGTGGCGTTGGCAGGGAGGTTCACATAGCCGCTGTACGAATTGACCCCGGGGGTGGTCTCGCAGATGTGCGTCTAAGTTGTCAGCCAGCTATCAAGACGTGATCTTTTGCTAGTTATGTTTTATATGTACCCGTTTGAATGACAGCGAAACTCGAGGGTTAAGGAAAGACCTAGCAATTTGCTCACTCTCAAGCCTGGGATTTCGTGAGCTGCCCACATGGGCACCGGCTAGCAGACCAAAGAGGACTGTGAGAGGCAGCATGGTTGTTGCGGGCTGTTCCAGCCTAAGTCGTCAAAACTGCTGGAGTATGTCCACTGACTGACATGCATCTTATACGACTACTGAACTGGGCGGGTATTGCGGCTTCTGCCTTTTGAACAACGACACGGCATGCTCAATGCTTTAATTGAAACCCAACCTTAAGACTGTGCTCGTGGAACCTTATTCAAACCTTTATTCGGCACTAGCTCAATTCCCGTGTTCGGAACTTGACTTCTCTGATTCACCCTGCAATGAAGCCTTCATTCCTCTTGCCGTAGCCCATTCTGCGAATGGCACGTACACCCGTCCTTTCTCAGACCCTATGTTGGACGAGCTTTGGGCTTCAACCCTAGAGGCAGTTCTGAGAAGTCACAAATCCGTCCGGTGCGACTGAATCACTGAAAGCATTGACCAGGCTGGAATCTTTGTCTTCGGCCTCGTATCAGGCGGACTAATCTAGATCTGAGCCAAACTGAAACAATAGCAATTTCGGTAGCAGGAACTTCTGCAACAACCCATTTCCACCCCATGGCGAGAAGAGAGAGGGATCAATGCTAGACATGCAGGTAAGGGATGACCGACCAATAACGGCATCACCGAGCCCACGGCTCACCGATGCAGGAGACAGCTGCAGGAATGCGTCGAGACAACCAGACACCACACTTTCGCCGCTGCAACGGCTCTGGAGCCCACAACTCTAGTGTCTGGACACTGCGCGTTAACAACCAAATGCGGGATTTTGTTGCCTACCTTCGCTCGCACACCTGCAAGGACTGAACCAGGACTCGCCATTCCAGGGCTCGATGCGATCACCCATGACGCGAACTATGATGGGTCGGAAGGGGTTTGCCTTCTAGCAATGCAGCCCTACTGCCCGATACTTGACCTTGACAAGCCCATGGTTCTCCCGCCGAGGACTGGAGCGTTGCTTCTCTCCCGTTTATCTAAGCCGTTGGCGAGCATCTCATAGCCTCTTAGCATGCTTGGTAAGTGGTGAGCCACCAAGGTGTTGCATTGCTCCCGTCTGCCTTGCTCCCTATCACTAGCTTCGATCTATGGTAAACCATGCGTTTTTCAAACGGGGTTTTTCCGGTAACTTGACTTCAGATTCCATGGCGACGACATCGTTACTTCCGTCTGCAACCAATGTCCTTACTTCAGATTCATTTTGTGCTATTTTCTTCCGGCTCTGTATCTTCAATAGGCACCCGATTGACCGACGATGAGAGATGTATAACAACCGACAACCACATCAGATTTAGCCAATGTCTCCATCCAAGCAAACCAACAAGCGGCCTTAAAAATTACGGTATCAATAGGCTAGACATTGACCCCCCGCTACCTAACTGTGGTTTTATTCCCCTGTCTATCGCTCGTGGACAGCTCGGCTCCTTCAAAACTCATCGTAGGTATAGCACATGACATCGTTTTCCGTGTCAAGCACATCCCCGACCGTCATGTCGGGGATCAGACCCATCGTTGTCAAGACTGTGTCCCGGGTCAAGGGGATGCACGGGCTGCCGTCAGCGGGATACTCGGCACAACCAGTGACTGTTGAAATAAAATGTCAGCCTACCTCAGATACCTTATGCTCCCACTCAAAAGCAAAATCCTACTAGGAGCCCGGCTAAGGCGGACAAGCTTACTCGTCATAGAGCGGCCTGGAGCAGCATCCTGCCAGCGCTTCCACTGCCAATCCACAAAACCATGATGCAGAAAAAAGACGGGATCGTTGGGCGACGTCGCAAGCAGCCACATAGTGGGGCCAATCCCTTCGTGCATGACGGCGTGGATCGTCTGCTCGACGCAGCGGCGGTGCTGTGTGTACTCGGTGGTGGCATCACCATGACACAGATCGAGCATCGCCGTCGTCGCTTCGTCGGTCGTTTGCTTGGTCTCGCCGCGGGAGAGGCACGACGAGTGGTTCGGGTCCGGGGAGCGGACGGTGAAGTTGGCGAATGCCTAAAGGGGAGGAGGAAGAAGATTCATGAAGGTGTTTAAGAGGGGGCTGCGAAAGGGGGTCTTGGTGAAAAGGGACTGCTTACGCCGTCTGTGATGCACGTCCCGTCGCCCGTCTTGGACAACGGGGGCAGCGCGCCAAAGTAGTCAGCCGTAAAAAACCAGAGGCGGAGAAGTGGCCCGTGTAGTTGGTCTCGCGCCACCAGGGCATCGGCCCGGCGTAAGCTCAGTGCTCCGCCAGCAGCGTCTTGAGCATGTGGAGGTAGTACCGGTGAAAAGGCAGGAACGTGTCGACGCCGTGGATGCGCACGTTGAGCTGGTCATGGACCCACGCCACCTCGTCCCAGATGCTCCTCGTCGCATTCTCGCCCCAGACGCCCAGAGGCGGCGTGTCCATCAAGCACTTGACGGCTCGCACGTACGAGAGCTTGTCGGCATCGGCCATGCGGTTCCACTCGGGTCGGATGGTCGTGTTGGCGCACTTGGGCCGGGGCTGGGCTTCGGTGGCGTTAGTGTCAAGCGAGGAGACCTTGCCGCAAAAACCACCCGGGGGTGTTTTCATGATCTGGACTGCTTCGTCCCACGGTATTGCCTTGACTCTCCCGCCGTGTGGGGATGCATGCTCGATGCCGCGCGGCTCGTGAAGTGGGATGGAGGCCGAAGAGGCGAATGCCGCGGCCAAGAGCACCAAGGCAAAGGTCATGAGCTTCATGGTGATACGCTGAAGATGCTATCAGCAAAAACGAAATATAAGAGCGCCTTGCGATGTTGACCGTTACCTGCATTTTGGCCAAGAAGGGATGGATCTTGGAATGTACTGTAGCTATTATACTGGGTTTTGCTTTACTCTGTCTCCAAGACGCTGACACCATCGCTCGTATCCTAGGTCGAAATCTGTCGATTTGCGTTCGCTTACTCAGGCCACTTCCTTCTACGAAGATGATGGGGGAATCCCAGCCTGGACTCATGTTGGCCCCATTCCCTTACAACGTTTTCGCAGCGCAGGCACTGTGTGTGACGTATTATCGTCCAACCCATGCGGGGACAGCAGAACCTTCCGTGCCCGTATAGCCCAAGTATAAGGGCTGTGTCTTTGCAATCCAGCCTCGTATAAAATGAATGCTCCACTCGCCAAGGTAGTCTATCAGCTATTACACCTAAGGTAGGCCAAGTTAAGACAACAAGCATTGAGGTAGGGAGTTTCTAGGGCGTGGCTGGCGTGCAGATCAACGTGAAGGGTCGGGGCGGTGCAAACACCACGGTAAACTTGAGAAGAGCCTTGAAGACAGGATACTAGAAGGGTTATTTTGCTACAGATCTTTCAATGCGTAAACGAAATTAATTATGAACTGGCTCACTATACACGCCTGCAAAACCCAGTCGGCGCCGCCGCGCCCAGCTTTGCTGGCCCGACCGTCCCCAATCCTTCCCGACTCTGAGGCGCCAGCTCATGCACCATCGAACTCCACTCCCTCATCTGGCGCGTGATATGCGACCCGTTGGGGAGGCGGTTGCGGAAGCTTTCGGACGACGAGTCGCTGAGCTCGGACGTGGAGCGCAGCAAGCCCCAGGACTGCATCAGGCGGTGGACGGGCGCCTTGAGCGGTGGGAGAGAGGCCGTCAATACGCCGATGGTCAGCTCCATGCCCCAGAGTATGTCCTGTTGGACGTTGATCAGGGCCGTGCTCCCTTTGCCCAGGTAACCCATGATGAGAAACAGGCGGGCGACGGCGACGCCTGTGGCGGCCATGCCGGCAGTCATGAGGCAGCCGATGAGGACCTTTTCCAGCCTGGGACGGTGGAGGGTCCGGATGAAGGTGACGGGTAGCAGCGAGAGGACAAGATCAGACGCGATCGTGAAGCCTTGGGGATTGAAAAGGCACCTAGTTAGCGACTGAACGATCGCCACGCGTAGTTCTCCGGCAGAGAACAGCTTGACTGGGCAAGGAGTGAGCTTACCGCTGTAGATATAGCCGTAGGTCATAAAGTACGGCGTATAGATACATCGGGCGGTAGGCGTGGGTGCCCACCTCGCCGAGATGGGCTGGCACATCACAAGGTGCATGGTTGTGCCCACGATCAGCATGCACACCTGGACGCTGATGACGACCCACAGCGCCAGCCTCCACGGCAACGAGTCCTTAAGCCGGAGCAGCAGCAAGGCGACCGAGATGCGGATGACGTTGAGCGCCCAGACCCAGAGCACTCCGTCGGCGACCACGAGTGGGCCCATGGTCCAGGGGTCCGGGGAGAAGCCCTCGATGCCGCGGCCATAGTGGTACATGGCGACGTCAACCCCATACCAGGCAATGGTAAGGATCTGCCAAGGTAATGAGACATTTGCTACATCCTGTCGCGACTGGGGCTTTGTGTGTATCGTTACTTACCAAGGCAAGGAGAAGCGTCAAGTCATCGGCGCCGATACGCCGGACTGGCCGCAGCCGCCAGTAGACGCGCAGGCTCGTGGTGATGCACGCGATGCCGAGAAAGGTGCCAACCGGGGCGAGCGAGTGCGCGTCGATCCTGTCGCCGGCCATACCTACCTCCCTAGGTAATCAGTTTGACCTGCGCATTGTCTGTCGAGGAGAGGCGTGATAGTAGGGACGAGATCAAACGGGTAGAGGCAATGGAGTGAGATCTGATCAAGGCTAGATGTTAGAGCGGATTGTGGAGCTTTCTACGTGATCCGCGACGGCCCGGGACGGGATTCCCTTTGCTTACCGGGGTACCAATCAGGCAGCTAATGCAGGAGAAGGTTTGGGCTAAGTCACGGGATTCAGCCTGATTCCGGCGCATCCTACTGTGTAAATTACCTTCGCTAACTAAGCTTTTCTTGGGAAAGCTTGCAGACCTGCAGAGCATGAGGCGCATGAGGGGATGTCGGCCCGGGTGTGGGACGAGTCACAGCCATGCCAATTGCCGTCTACTCTTGCCGATGCTCATTGCCGTCGATGTTGGAGGGGTTGCTGAATCGATGTAACCCTCATTTTGGTTGGCAGCTGGCTCGCCAGTGTCACCTTTGCCCTTTTGCTCCTCGACCCCGGCCCCGGGGAGTGCAGGCGAGGCAGGGCAGCTGCATCCAACGAAGGCCATCTTCTTGGCGGAACAGAAGCGAAGAAGGTTGGCCGTCCAGAAAATTGGACATGCCCTAACTCGCACCCCGGATTGTTTGGTTCGTATCCCTGGTAGAAGTGTAACTATCAATCCTATGCCCCAACGAAATCCGGGCTGGGTGAGATACGTTTGACCCCCACGGCGATGGCAAACTCCAACCGCTTTTAAACAGCTCTGACTTCTTCCCAAATTCAAACCCACAGGCGATGCTCCATTCCTCTGTTACAAGCACTCTGCACAATTCCACCATCAAAATGCGAACATCCCTCGCTGCTCTGCTGCTTTGGGGCGTCAGCCCCCTCGCCTCGGTTGCCTTTGCCAAGGTGTGCTCCTACGGGGATAACCCGCAAATCATCGCTCATGCTGGCGAGCCGGTGGGAAGGGAACAGATGTACAACGGAGGTGAGACATTGTCTCACAAGCCTACCAAGAAGGCCCACTCACACTAACTCCCGGTGTCTCGACATGTAGTCAACCTGTACATCTCCAAGCCAAGCTGTAAGAAACCGAAGGTGGGCGTCTTGTACATTACGGACGTGTTTGGCATCCAGCACGTGCAGAATAAGCTGTAAGTTCTTACCTTTTACGGCCGAGACTCCCTCCTTGAGCAGACACCTACTACTGTCAGGTGGATTTGAACCGGAGGGACGGAGTATGACTAACACGACATGAGCACAGCCTCGCCGACTCGTTCGCCCGCGCGGGCTTCATGGTTGTCGCCCCCGACATGTTCGACGGCAAACCAGCGCCTATGGACTTCAACACGCCCGGTTTCAACGCAACAGAGTTCACCCTCAAACACAGCCCCAACGCGACAGATCCCATCCTCGCCAAGGCAGTGGCTTACCTGCAGACGACGGGCGTCGAGAAGATCGCCGCGACAGGATACTGCTACGGCGGCCGCTATGCGTTCCGCGTGCTCGCCGCCGGCAAGGGCGTCGACGCCGGCTTTGCCGCACACCCCAGTCTGCTTGAGGACGTTGAGATCCAAGCCATCACACGTCCCATCAGTGTTGCTGCTGCTGGTGAGTGTCTGTTGATATAGTTATTGCTTTTGTGTAAACATCTCTTGCCTAACTGACCTACTTCCCCATAGAAATCGACAACATGATGAATTCCACGAGGCGCTCCCAGATTGAGGCCTTGCTCGCAAACGGAACCCAGCCGTATCAAGTCAACTTGTATGGCGGCACCTCACATGGATTCGGCGTGCGAGCCAATGTTTCGAACCCGGAGGAAAAGTTTGGCAAGGAAGCTGCTTTCTACCAGGCCGTGAGGTGGTTCGATGCTTGGGCTGGCGGCGCGTTGTGATGGGGCACCCTTTGTGTGTCGAGTGCCAGTGGGTGTTCCTCGAGTCCCTTCAGCTTAGAGTCACAGCTTTTCCGTAGACTTCTAAGTCGCGCATTTCTGAGCCTGATGACAACATGGTGCTAGTTCATATAACTTGCGGTATTGACTCTGTGGTGCTATTCGCAGTCGGCTTTATCCTGCCCAAGATCCGTGAGGTCATCACTGAGCTGGAGGCATATTGGACCAGGGAACCGTCAAGAGCTCTAAAAGTTCGGCTGTATCCTTCCTACCTCTGTTCATAAGAAAACCTTAACTAGTAACTTGCCGGATTCAACTCGTCTTTCCGGCCACCATGTCTTATAGCCCAGGTCCAGCAGCCAGCTCCCGCTTGTACGCCTGTAGCGAAATGAGTTCCAAGACTTATTCCTTTGCTTTGACCACGATGACGTAGCTCCAGAAACTGGTATTGGTTTCCGGAATGTAGTCCCTCTCAGGCACAACAGGCCGGATTGCCCGATTCGCTGCTTACTGTCAGGCTTAATCTACCCTGTTTGGATCCGTCTCGAGTTAGCAGATTGCGAGCGTTCACTCTCGAGGGAGGCAAACACGACACGAACACGGACTCCCAAGGCACCCTTGGAACGGAAACTTGAATATCACGGCTGCTTATAAGGCTAGAACTTCCCCTCGAGCTTGCTCTCTTCGCCAAGGACCTCCCAGGCAAGCCCCCATGGTACAGGATCCCTCCGTCCTTCCAGATAAACCAGCCCGACCAAGCTCTACCGGGCTATGCTAGAAAGGACTCGGATTGCTCAAAGAAACATTGCAGGATTAACGCAAGCATGACCGCAGCGTCTTTTTAGCTTCGGAGGCACGCCACGACACGATGCAAACCTCGTGCCCTCCGTGAGTCCATAGCGCTTTAGCTGCCGGATTGGTCACGGACCTGAGCCCTGCGAAAGCCGCCGTCGTCTGGACGAAAGCAGTAATCGGGAACACAATGCCGTACGTCCACCGTGCTTCCCCTCCACGGAAGACATCCTCGGCAAACACAACCCTTGGCTGTGTTTCCAAGACGGTCCATCGCGCGAGGTTCTAACTCCTTGTAGGGAGATGTTTGCGGAAGCCAAGCGTGTCGTGAGGCTCTTGTCGATAAATTACCCGGGACTAATACCACTTACCCGGGTCCCAATACCACTTCGTTAAGCTTCTAGGCGAGTTGTGATAGGTGCGGCTAGGACGGGGAGGGTCGTATTTGTTGACGGTCGACGGAAAGGGAAGGACGCCGGTGTATTGGATCTGTTCCATTTCGAGGTATCACGGAAGGCACTCCGTTCAGTAGACAGAGCATATAATGGACGTGGCGTTTCTTGAGTGTGTTGGCACAGCTTGTCGTCTCATAGCAGTTGTCCGCTTCGACGTGCAGTCTCACTTCAAGTTGCCCGGAGATCAACGCTGGCAGTCATGCATTCTCTCGCGTTCCTGCTCGCTGTCGGCCCGGCCGCCGTGCTTGCCCAGTCTCCCCTCTGGGGCCAGTGTAGGTGATGGCTTTCTCAGTACTCGTTCCAGTCCTTAGCTAACCAGCTTCTCTCACAATAGGCGGTGGTTACGGCTGGACGGGTCCCACAACCTGCGTTTCCGGCTCAGTGTGCCGTTACCAAAAGTCAGTGCAACCCCCCTCCCTCCCCCACAAGGTGACCTGTTCTGCTTGTCTAGGGTTGCTACTAACAAGTTTCCCAGTGACTGGTACTCCCAGTGTGTGCCCGGGACAGCTCCCGCAAGCAGTACTACCCGGAGCAGCAGCAGCAGCTCCCCAACGCCTACCGGCGGCAGTGGGGGAAGTGGCCTACACAACAAGTTCAAGGCCAAGGGAAAGCTCTACTTCGGCACCGAGATCGACCACTACCACCTCAACAACAACGCGTTGACCACCATCGTCAAGAACAGCTTTGGACAAGTCACGGCTGAAAACAGCATGAAGTGGGATGCCATCGAGCGTGAGTTTCTTTCTTCTACTTAGGTTTTTCCCTTTTTTTTTGTCCCTGCGCTGTCCCTCGGCAAACAGCTACGAAACTAAACTTGTATTAGCGAGCCGCAATCAGTTCACCTTCTCCAACGCCGACGCCGTCGTCAACTTTGCCCAAGCCAACGGCAAGCTCATCCGGGGCCACACGCTCCTCTGGCACTCGCAGCTGCCGGACTGGGTCAAGAACATCAACGACCGCAACACGCTGACCCAAGTCATTCAGAACCATGTGACGACGACGGTGACGCGGTACAAGGGCAAGATCTTGCAGTGGGACGTGGTCAACGAGATCTTTGCCGAGGACGGCTCGCTGCGTGACAGCGTTTTTAGTCGGGTGCTGGGTGAGGACTTTGTCGGCATCGCCTTCCGCGCCGCGCGCGCTGCCGACCCGGCCGCCAAGCTCTACATCAACGACTACAACCTCGACAGCGCAACCTACGCCAAGCTGACACGCGGCATGGTCGAAAAGGTCAACAAATGGGTCAGCCAGGGCGTGCCCATCGACGGCATCGGCACTCAGGCGCATCTCGCTGGCCCCGGCGGGTGGAACCCTGCCTCGGGCGTGCCCGCCGCTTTGAGGGCCCTCGCCGCCGCCAACGTCAATGAAATTGCCATCACCGAGCTCGACATTGCCGGTGCCTCGGCCAGCGACTATCTCACGGTTATGAACGCCTGTCTGCAGGTGTCGAAGTGTGTGGGTATCACCGTTTGGGGCGTGTCGGACAAGGACAGCTGGAGATCGAGCGACAACCCGCTTCTCTTTGACCGCAACTACCAGCCCAAGGCGGCATACACTGCCCTGGTCAATGCCTTGTGAAACGACGAGAGGATATGCGGTTGTTTGACAAATCTGAGGTTGTCATCTGACGTAGTGTAGACGGCAGGAGGAGGGCGGTGTGTCAAGGGTACATATGCACCAGGTGCAACAAACTGAGCGTTTTCGAGTATATATTTATCCGTAGTATATATGGTGCCTTATTTTCCATGATGAACCTCGCTCTTGACTTGGAATGGTCGTCACTCACAGGGTGTGTATCGATTCTGTTTACCGGGGCAGTCATTGGCCGCAAGAGGTCGTATCAACTTATCAATCAATCGCTCAATAAACCAATTTTGGCGGGTTTGGATCAACCAATTTAACTTTGAGGGCTCGGTTGGGTTGGTTGAATTGTTAGCTACGCTGTCTCACAGATCTGATCCAGCCGCTTGATGTTGTTGTCTTCCAGCCATTGAAGCAATACCAGGCAAAGGAGCTCGATATCCTGATCCGCGGCGGCCTGGTCAACATCACGAAGATTAGTTCCTCGTTGTTATCCAACAAGCCCGCAGACAAGCCTTCAAGGACGCCACTATCCAAGCAGCAGTCGACCCAGCCCTCAACAGCTCTCCTTTCCGCACCCCTGTTACACTACGGCAGATGAAAGAGCTGGCGGACAAGCCGTCCATTCTCGCGAAAGACATTGACGACGTCCGGAGAGTCAAAGGCTCGATTAATACAGCGAAACAGAATTGGTCCAAGTCAAGCGTGACCTTCAGAGAACAAAGATGGCCGAAGACACCGCCAACCGCAAAAGACTTCAAAAGAACCGGCCACTACAGTCAAGGAATTCCTGACAGTGGCCCGGGCACGTCGAATGATCAAGGTCAGGGAGGATGATGAAAGGCCAGGCGGGTGGTCCAGGCCGCTGAACAGCGGACACACAAGAAGATCAAACGCGTGTATGCAGATGCAGCTAAGGAAGCCCGGAAATGGAGGTTGACTGGCCGGCTGGACCCTGACGAGGTTGTGGAAGGCCCAGGCAAGATACTGCTACTTCGCAGAGGGCTGGAGATAGCTGAGACGTTGGCATAGCCAAGGGGTCGAAAAAGTGGCCGCGTGTGTGGTGAGCACCAACTTGCCCGGCGGTTTGCTGGCTGGGACGGCGAAAAGCGGAGCAAGTTTTGTGGGGGGGGAGGGGTGCCACGGGCGCCCAATAGACGCACACTACCGTGCGCTTACGTAAACCCAAAATGGCTTAACTAATCCACGAATTGCATCTAACGCAGCGTTGCCCTTCTGATAGTCCGTACTTTTGATGAAATCAACACCAAAGCAACACCAAAAGCACCAAGATGGCAGCCTTCCAATATGACTGCCTCCCTCCCGAGGGCTTGTTCGAGTCACGCGACGACCTATTTAAAGTCAATCAACTCGTCCGCAGAGTCTCGAGACTACGCCTTTGTCACCCAGAGGTCAATACGCGAGAAAAATGGCTTTCTCAAAGTCTACTTATTGTGACAGATTAATTGAATTGAGTGCTTTTGGTGTTGCTTCGTGTGCAGCGCAACGCTGCGTTAGATGCATGTCGTGGATTAGTCAAGTTAAGCCATGGGCTTACGTAAGCGCACAGAATTTTGCGGCTCCCACTAACTAGTGGGAGCCGTAGTGTGCGTCTAGTGGGAGCCGCTGCCGGAAGCCCCAGAAAGAAAAGCCAACTTTCACGTGACATCTGTCCCACATTTGCGCCAGCGCCACCCCGCATCTTTTTCTCCATACCCGCCATCCATTTTAAGTTCCTCTTCAAATTCTCACAAGACCCAGCCAAGTTCGCTAACGACATACGTCTGAACAATGCCTCTTGGGTGGTATCTAGCTCAGGGGCTAATTCCGCTTACCCCGAGTAGCAGCGACGACGAGGAGGGTCCTTGTGAGCTCCCGGACGGCCGACTGGTCTGCGGTCCCCATGGCCTCGTAACCTGCGGAAAGTGCTGTGTAGACTACAGCTTCATGGATGATGTTCTTAGTCAAGACAGAGAAGACGAGGACGAGGACGAGGACGAGGACGAGGACGAGGACGAGGACAGCGATCACCCTGGCTCGGACATTGCGGCTTCAAACTTGGATCTAGCCACCGAAGGTTCGAACACTACGGGTTCCAATTCACGTCGCCCAATCAGCCAGCCTGTTTCCGTGGAAACCGCTCAAATGCCTGCCGATCTACACGATGTCTTTGGCCACGTGTTGAGAAGGGGTACGGGTCGGGCCTTTCCCACCAAGTTCAACCCACCATCGACTTCAGTGACTCCTTCAGAGCTATTCTCTGGCCGGAAGAGACATATGCTTGTTACCAGGCAAGTAAATGCATAGTTCATGAAGATGATCCCAGCTAATTGATTTATCAGATACACTTTCCGAAATGATGCCGGCAAAGTCCTCATTCGCACCGACGGTGCATGTGTAGACAACGGCCAACCAAACCCAAAGGCAGGCTGGGCGTTCTGGCATGGGCTTGATCCTTCGGGGAAGCTGCTAGTCGCCTCCGGCCGCCTAGAGAAGAAGGGACCTTTCGGCGACGATAGCATTCAGACCAGCAATCGGGCAGAGCTGCGCGCTATCATCGCAGCCCTGCGCTTCCGATACTGGCCCGGTGAGGGGTTCCACACGCTTGTCATCGCCACCGATTCCGAGTATGCGGTTGAGGGTTCGACCAAATATGCCAAGACGTGGGTCAAGAATGGCTGGACAACGCGCACGGGGGTTGGCGTCAAGAATCGGGATTTGTGGGAAGCGCTGCTGGGTGAGATTGAACGATATAAGGACGAAGGGATGGCTGTCGAGTTCTGGAGAATCCCGAGAGAGTGGAACACCGTTGCTGATGCAGCTGCAAAGGAGGCTACCGCCGAGGTAGATGCACCTAATGGATGGAGAGAAGTCTTGGGGTTCAATTGCTAGATTACCGTAGGGACGGCGATGCAATTTTGTTACACTGTGCAAATTCAACTAGCGTTCGCCCCAGTCTTACAACGCGGGAGGGACGTTTGGAGTTAACACTAAATACCCACAACTCATCTGCTTGCCTGCTCGTCAGTATCCCACTCATGTTGAGGATAGCTCCCGAGTTATGTGACGATTCGATTCGCTTTGCGCTTGTCATTGTATTTCTCTGTTGGTGGCCATGGCTTGCAGCCCAGCGCCATCACGTTGTGTTCTGCCCCAGCCATTCTGCAGCTTCCCCTCGCCATGGCAAAGATCAAGGTTAAGGACAAACGCCGCCAGCGTCAGTGGCTTGCCTGATGAGTCGTTTGTATGATTTCGTGGCGAGTGATTCAAGCCGCCTTGTCAATTATGGGACTGAGCAACTTTCGAAACCACGCTGGGACGCCAGAGTGCATCTTTATTGTTTCTAGTTCTTCGAACTCAGTCCAGGCACTGTGTGCGCAATGGAATATTGGTGAGGGCCCCCCGGTGAACCGGCGTTGCTCAACAGAGAAATTCCTGAGATCAGCTCCCATCGTTCTCCCGATCCATGGCCATGATCCCGGCAACATCCACGCACTCACAGCCATTTTTTACTTCCTCAGTCCTTTTCACGTACTCCCTCAACCAATCGGCGACCACTTGAAACCCCTTGATCTCGGCAGCCCGTAATGCACGGCTAGTTACAACTGCGCCATGTTCAACCAGCACCAGGGCCACCTCCAACCCTCCGCAGCTCGCCGCCCAATCCAGTGCCGTTCTCCCCCAATCATCCGCCGCCTCGGTCGGAACGCCCTTACTCAAGAGATAGTCAACCGCGTCTAAGCTTCCTTCTGTTGGAACCTGCAGGGCGACGACCGCTGTGATATGCGCTGGAAGAAGCTATTCCCAGTCAAAGCAGTGGATTGAATCTTTAAGGTGATAAAAGTGATTGATTGACCATGCTGTTGATGGGCATGGGAGAGGACTAAGTATGTAAGGAAGAGGGGTTGCGGTGCTGGCACCAATCAACCACCGAGGTCCGTTGAATGCAGCCATCAAGGCGGCTTCGTTCCGACACCTTCCTCCGCCGCGAGCGAGAGTGACGTCCTATTTGCGTAATTACAACGGCGGCAATATCCCACATGAGATCCTCGGTGTACGTTCTCAGGGCAAGGATATCGCCGTTCCTTGCTGCTTCCAAGATATCTCTCCGCTTCTCGTTGTCGCTGATGTATCGACGGCAACGGTCGGCGAGGCGGAAGGTGAAGCGGCGTTCGCCCTGGAACCTCTCAAACAGCCCGGCGGATTTGCCGTTGAGGGGGGGGAATGGCGATAGGGACTGAACGATTTCGGCGGCGGTCTCCATTTCGGACTTCCCGTAAAATCCGGAATAAAGGCTCACGAGGACCATACCTGCTTCCTCTGTGGCATTCAAATTCACGAGGGCTGAAGAAGTTTCGACATTGTTGTCATGTCGGGACTTGTCGACTGGAGACCCGGGCCGTTCTGGGCAAGTGCTGTCAGCAATCCGTTGGTATAGGCGTACGTCGGAAAGCTGCCCGTGACAATTTGGCTGATAACAACGTCCAACGCAGTTTGGCCTTTGTTGTCTCTCAGCGCCACTTCGAAGCAAGCTGCGCAGCTTGGGACAGTTTCCTTGAGACAGTGATGGCGGACACTCTGTGAGCACGTGGGCCGGTGCCTTTCCTTCATTGTCTTGGAGGTTGACTGCTTGCCCTCGTATTAGAAATACGTCCAACGCCTCGAGTTTGGCGTGTGTAACGGCGTTGGGCACCGGAGTGCGGCCGTTGTGGTCTCGTAGCTCCAAAGCTGGCATCCTATCCATTAGGGCTTGTATGCTGTCTGGCCTCCACTGGAGCGCCTGCGTGAAAATGGGAACCGCCTATCCCACACTCGTTGTCAAGGCATATGGAACCGTCGTGATTCGAAGTCGTTCCGCATGGCTCTTCGGACGGTCGAGGACCATGCTGCATTCTATGACCATGGCGTGCGGCCCCGCGTTTGGCGAGGGAAGCAGCTTCCGCCTCTGGAGCAGTGGTATCGCGTGGTGTTGTCGGGAGTGGATGCCTGTCCTGGCTCAAACGCAGCATAGCTAGCCGGAACAGGTTGGGTCTACGTCGATAATCTCGGGAGGGCCAGTCAATGGCTCTAGAGAAGGTCCTCGGCTACCTATCCGTTGGCGAAATCAGCTCCCACGGCTTCTTCAATGAGCGTGATGAGGGACAAAATTGGCCTGCCCTGCAGAGAGTCTGCATGTGGTATCGCTTCATCCGCACGAATTCGACACTTTGTCCCCAATCGCTCGGGCAGAGCCATACATGGCTCCCCTCGATTTCTCCAGCTTCAAAGGAGAGTCTAAGGACTTTCTTGTTTAAGGCCATCCTCGACGACTTCAGTTCGGCCGATCTGTCCTTGGGGCACAATGGGCGCTTCCGTCGACAACTTGATCGCAATGCCGCCGCGGCGAAATATCGCCATCGACTCATGGCAAAGCTGGCCAAGGATGAACAAGCCTTTATTGCAGTTCCCGGAACGTACCGGCACGTTTCATCCTCTTACGAGACTCGGGGTTATTGGGTGGGAACAGCTCCCTTGCGGGCCATGCCAGGCGACCAAGTCTTCCAGCTGCCCAAGATGGAGGGTTGCATGGTTCTCCGGCCGACGGGCAACGACCTTGAGTATCAAGTTGTCGGGTGCGCGGCGCTACCCATGGTTACCGCAAAGACATCCATGTACGATATTACTTTGGTCTGAGACCTTAACCGCTCCGCTGAACGATCTAGGGTGGGTTTGGGAGGGAACCTCCTGAATTCAGCGCTTCCGTAGCCCGCGTCTTCCAATAGCATCCGGCGGCATTGGCTGGGGGTGACAGCTGCTGTTGCATTAGATGCGGTGCTGCTTGCAAGGCATCATGCGGACAAACATGAACATACATTAGATGACGGCAGGTCAACACCCCAGAGGACACGAGAATTGGCATAGCTCCTCTTTTACTTCCAGTGGGAAAATGGATTTGCCCCTATCCCTCACATGCCTATGCGACTCAGCCACCGCTGGACAGGACCGCAAAAGCGCAAATGCGTTTGGTTGAGATGTTCGCGACGCGTTGGTGGGAAATGGTTATAAGACAATGTTAAACTTACACCACGGTTGGGAAATGGAGTCAAGAAAATGGTATAAACTTGTACTTCACCGTCACCAACTCGGTCCCGCGCGCCGGCTGCCCGCCGGTCATGTGCATCAACACCAACAACTGCGCCCGGAACGCCTCCATCGCCTCGGCATACTCGCGCACGCGCTCCATCCGCCACCGGATGCCACTGCCGTCCTCTCGCCCGCCTATCGTCGCCGCCTCGGTCTCAAAAAACTGGCGGAACAACCGCGCCTCGCCTACAACCCGGTCGGCCAACCACCGCTTCCCATCGACGCCCCCGAATGCCTCCCGGTTCCGCGGGTCCTCGGCGAAACTCCACCCGGCCTTCGTCTCGGCCGCGTTATCGACCAACTTGTCCCACTGGATCGCCGGCCACGCCATCGCCCCTGCCGGTTCACCTGCTCCTTGCCTGGCTGTCGTTACCGGCTCGCCGTCTTCGTCCACGTCTAACAACAACACGGCCCGCCGCAACTGCGCCCGCGCCGCGTGCAACAACCCGTGGATCATGGCCTGCAACGACACGATGCTGAACTGCACGTGGCCGATCAACAACTAGTCCCCGTGCCAATCCACCACGCCGTCCGCATTCGGGTTCGCCCGGATTGCCTTGCCGTATGCCCGTAACCGCAATATCGAATCCATCGGCGACGGCTGCCCGTCGTCGCCACGATCGTCATGAACCTCTGCACCATCTCCCTAACCCGGTCGAAATGGCTACGCGCCCGCTCCCGCGCCTTCGCCTTGCTCTCGCCGGCGAACCGCCGTCGGCGCCGGATCTCCTCGTGTCGCGCGCGCTTGGCCTTGTGCAACACCAACATGCGCGCCACCGTCACGATCGCCGACAACACGGGCGTATATACCAACGCGCTCCGCCACCCGCGCCCGGCTGGATGCCCAACACGGCCAACCCGCTGTACAACGCGTTCTGGAACTCGTTGTCGCCGATATCATGGTCCACCAACGCGATGAAAAAATCCAATACGTGGCCCTCCAACTCGCTCGTGTCGTCTTCGTCATCGTGGTTGGTATCGCTCCCGTCTCCGCCTGCGATCGCCGCGTATACGGCTATACGAACCCGATCGAACATCTCGGCTTGCTCGGCGGTGAAATTGTATGCCGGCCGTCGATCGCGGATCCTCTCCGGCTCGCCACCCTCTACCTGGCCGTTCGCCCGCTGGTCGCCGTCGCCCCGCTCCTCCTGCTCCTCCTCCTCCTCCCCCTCCGCCTACCCATCGGCCGGCTCCTGGACCGGATCTCAATGCCACGTGCACCATATATACGCCATCACCGACGTCCATACCGCACTGTACTTGACCATCGTCGCGCCCTTTTGGCCCGCGTTGAACGGCTTCTCGTACGAATTGCCGCCGGCCTCGCGCCGTTCGATGGAATTGACCGCCGCCGATCCGACCACGCTGGCCTGCGATGCCTTCTGCGCCCGCCAAACCACCCGCTCCATGGCCAATAACACGATGGCCAACGCGGCCTCGCTCCCTCCACGACTCGCCTCCTCTTCGGCGTCGTCTCGGTCTCGGTCTCGGTCCTGCTCCCGGTCCTGGTCCCCATCCCTGTGCCCGTGCTTGTCTCCGTTGGCCCTGTTACCGCCGCTCGTCGCCCCCTTCTCGGCGTCCGGCCGCCGTGTCGTCGCTGCCAACCACTCGCAATCGAACCCTTGCAAATGCCGCGGCCATCCCGTCCGCCGTACCCACATATTGGCCGACAACCTCGACTGCTCGCCGATCAACGCTGCTGCCGCCTCGTCCTTCTCATTGATGGCCTGCGCCAATGCCTCGAACTGCGCTTGGGCGGCCTCTCGGGCACCCCTCGGCCTGGACTCGCCCTGGCCTTGGCCCCGGGCATTGCCACCGGCCGCCTGTGACGGGGCACAGGAACTGAACTTGCGTATCCTGTAGTATTGGTGTGGTTGCAGGAAGAACCAAACTGTGGGCAGGGTGCAGCCTTCAGGGAAACCCTGCAGGAGGGCTGCGCACTGACCACTGGCAAGTCCCACCACTGGGCTTGCCAGCTCCTCATCGAGGCTACAGGACTTCAACCCTAACTTGGCACGGGCAATGCCCGTGACACCGCCGGCGCCGGCGCCGGCGGTGGTATAACCTCGAACAACCGCTGTAACGCGCCGTCCCGCCGGAACCGCTGGCAATATACCCCATTGCTTCTAAATGTCCTCCCTTGTCCGCCGGATATGGATGGAATTTATTTCGCCCGGAGGCACGAAGCCTAAAGGGCCTTGGCACGCTAACTA